CATGGTCTTGAGAGGCAGCACCATAGGGCCCATCAATGTGTACTTTGGGATAGCCCTTAACTCCAGATAATGTTGCCTGTAAAAGTTCAAAAGGAAAAATCCCTGTAATGCATAAGCTATTTCCAAATTTTGATCAACTCTTTCTATTCAATTTTCCCAATTTTTACCTCTTGGAAGAGACTGTATATTTGATAACTCCAGATCCCTGTACTGCATAAGCTTTTTCCAAATTTTGATCAACTCTTTCTATTCAATTTTCCCAATTTTTACCTCTTGGAAGAGACTGTATATTTGATAACTCCAGTCTCCAGCAGTTCTAATATGCACACTTAGGCAGTCGTCTTCGGGTCCAGAAGTCAAGGAAAACGGGTGCCTGAGTCAACGAACAAAGAAGCGAAAGAAACAGAATTCAAAATTCATAGGCATCAAAGTAAATTTTAGTTCATTACATGCAGGATTCTAGAACAGATCAATGCTATAGTTTAAATGTACCATTCAAATGGTGAAATTTGAGGGCATTGAATGAATATGTACATGCCACTCAGGTACTTAAACCCTTCTGGTTTATTCAATTGGAGGGACAAAACTTTTCCTGGATAAATACTTGCCTGCACAATTGTAACACAAAAAGAAGTAAACAAAGGGTTGAATTTAATTCCCAACTAACTGCCATTGCAACAATTGTAGATTGATGAATTTTCAGAGTACGTCCTTCTGATTAACAAGGTTAATGGTAGTATTGGCCTATTACCTTCAAAATTTCCACCTCATAAAATCCTGATCGTATGGCTCGAAATACTCGTTCTCCGGTATATAATAGAACTGGAATGGCAATATACATCCATGTCTGCTTAAGCAAATTCTTAACATTAAAACTCTATTTGAAGGAAAAATTCCAAATACATGAGGACAAAATGAAGTTCAGTTTAAAGGCTTACTGTTTTTTCAGTTACATTGTCTGTAAGGAAGAGGAACATGGAGTGAAGAATGAGCAATGCATATACAGCAATGAACAAGTGGTGTGAGTACCAAAAGGTATTATAGCCTGTGACATTCCGAACAGACCTTGGTAGAGAAGGTGGTTGGCGGCGTGGCCATTTTGTTGCAAGTGAAAATGCTATCATCATTAGTACTACCATAATAATCCCTGTTGCCACCTCCTTTGTGGCCAATATTTCGAAGTATGATGGTTGATGGTACCCGAATCTGGCAGCTATTGTTTGCATGAAGATTAAACGATCCGAATCACTAATTCTTGGCAAGTCACAAGAAAGGTGAGCACCACCATGCAGGATAACTCCTACTACTATCCCTCCTGCAATCATCTGCACATATTCAACACAAAATGTAGACATGCTTCTTAGTAAAGTAGAGTGCTATATAGGACAAATTTTTCAAGTTTTTGAGGTTGGTTTTCCATTGGCTCCAAAACTAAAAAGCTTGAAATATTTGTTTTAAGGTGGTCGTTATGAGTGTGGAGCAAGTGTTCTACCACTAGAGCTAAGCTAGCTATCAGTCAAACTACCTTGTGGAAGTTAATGTTGTCATTAAATGGAATAATTGAGTTGATCGAACGGTTCTTGCGAAGCCATGTAATTGTATTACGACAAACAGGGAGGAGAATTAGAGCCATGTTGAATTTCAGGGTTTCAGCAGCACCTTTAGCAGTGGACAGGCAGTACCCCATTACTTGAAAAGCTGCTCTATGGCGATATTGTATGAATTTCCAAGTGAATAGTGCAGTACATATGATCAACCACAAAAAAACTATCCATCCACGTCGCCAATATGATCGAAATAAAACTTCGGTCTTAGACCTTGGCTCTTCACATAGGTCGAAACTGTGATATGGATTATGTCTGATTGACAAGTGATTTGTTGAAAAGGATCCCTTTGATAAGCTCATTTTGATGAGAGTCTCAAATTGATTGAGCTGCAAGTTAATGGCGAACGTTAGAAAGTCAATAAAATATCCTTGAACATAATTTAACATGGTACAATCCGCAGAATTAGATGCTATTCATTTCTCAAATAGGGTCATATCTTTATTTTTGGCCTTGAGAGAATGAATTTCCATGTTTGAATGGTACCTCAATATATCCCTGGTTTTCAATGTCAAGCAGTTCCATGACTAAAGCAGCAAAGTCTTCTGCTTCCTCATGGGTCAATGATAACTTATTTGTAGAAGCACTTAGTATAATGGTCTGCAAAAGTGCCCAAATTCCAAGCGAACCAGTAACCATGAGCACAAAATTAATGCTATCTATGTAATAATGCAAGTTTTTTAGACCTGAAATGGTGAAGTTAATTACGGTCATTCAGGTAGAAGAGTGCTTTTCATGAGAGTGTGACTCAGTTACCTGCTTAATATCTTTCTTAGTTATTCTTCCGTCCATGTTTCTGTCACACCTGAAAAGAATTACAACCTTAGAGAAAAAGTCAATTCCAAAAGAAGGTAATTTTCTTGATGTAAACAATTGTAACAAGGCTTAAGCTAAGCATCTTATTGAATTATAATAAGGATTATTACAAGTCAAAGTAAATCCGTATCCTCGAATTGAAGCAAGGGTCAGTCATACGACACCAGTAACTATGCAGTTCGTCTTTCGGCATATCAACAGTCCGATCCCTTGTTCCCCTTAGAGCCCTTAATAGCTCATTAGCAAACTCTGGCGTCTGTTGCATGCCTGCCAAATATGAACCAAAGTATATTTTGGGTTTTGAGTTTTGAACCAAAGTATATTATCAAAGAAGGAGCTAATATATTTTTAAAGATGTAGATGTATGTAACAGCCAAAGGTAATTATATGACAGAAGAACAAAAATTTCAAGCTACTGCTACCATGGTAAATAACAACCACAGTAATTAATCTAAAAAGAAGAACAAAAACAGTAGAGGCCAACAAAGCCGCCCACCAAAAGAATAAAACTAATGCACACAGGGCAAGCCAAAGACACAAAGAAGTCAGAGAAAAAAACAAATACATTCTGCAAAAACAATCACATTCTGCAGAAAACATGTTCTGCAGAGAATAAACAGAACCAAGCCAAAAGTTAAAATGAAATAAAATATTGATGGGAATCGTTAATTCTATTTGCTAAACTTTAAAATATGTAATATGATAAACTTAATTAAGTGTAGGCTTGCTCACCTATACACAGACCAAAATCAGACCATTTTATAACCGGTTCAACTCCGTTTCCAGTCAATGCAAGCCGGTCAAACCGCTCCTCTACACCCTTCCACTCCATCCCACCGTTGCCCACGGTACCAACAAATCTCAGCCATTGAGTTTTAGTGGCTGAACCCGCTGTGGATACCTCCCCACCATTCTCTGCCATATAATACTGCCGGTTCAGTGCAGCTTGAAGTGGTTCTGTTTTATCACCATGAGGTTCAGTCCAAAGCGGAGAGAAAGACAGAGGAACAACGCTAGTACTGCAAGAAGACGAAGAAGATGAAGATGGTGAGAGAGCTGAAACAGAGGGTTGGTGAGGGGTTTGGAGCTGTGCATGTGCCTCCATTTTTGGTGATCAAAGTTTTTGTAAGGAAAGAAAGAAATGTGGTTGGTTGTGATGTGGGAGTTTATTTAAAACAAGATTGATGGGTTTTCTAGAATGCAGAGTGCTCATAACTTGTTGAAAAGAATGCATGTTTTAAGGATGAAGAAGAAAAGAGTGGCAGCATTTAATTTGTTTTGTTTGAGAGATACAAACTGTAGCTAGCTTATGGGCTTTCTTGTTCACTTGGTTTCTTGTATTTGGGTGGTTAAGAAAATTAAGTAAGAGAGGTTTTGTTAGTGGCTGAAAAATTAGGAGCAGAAAGGAAATGAGAGCAGGTAGAGTAATGAAAAGGTTGTGATGAGAGAGAGAGAGAGAGAGAGAGAGAGAGAGAGAGTTAAATTTCCCACCAGCCAAAACCAAATACATCTCAGAATGAAATGATTCTCCCCATGCAAGAAAGGGATTTGGAGAATAATTGGTTATAAGAGTCACATTGAGCTAGCAGCTCCTAATTGCTCCATTAATTTGGACTTTGTGCATTGCATGCCTAGCTATGAGTTATATATATTCTGTGGACAAAAGACAAAGGGTGTGCAGGTCATAAGACTTACAGTTATTTAATTGTGCACCCAACAACATCATGACCTTGAAGCGAAAGGGCAAGTGAGAAGTAGGCAAATGATTGGCCACAGTTCTTCATCAACTCAACTTTACGCAGTTGGTCAAAGCATGTATGTGTTTCTATATATCTAGTTTTTCGGTGACATATTTAAATAACATATTATATTTTGTGACTGGCCTTAACGAGATCCCCAAATATTTCCACTATGTATTATTCATCCAGTAATGTAAACAAAGTGTATAATTCGAGTTTCTCCTTCAAGTGGGTTCAAAAATTCTAAGAAATTGTCGTTTGCGAATATATAAGTTTTTGCACCCTCTTTTTCTGTGTTTCAAAATAGTGGAAAGATATGGAATTTTTTCAGATAATTAATTGTCTTTTGAGAGTATGAAAAGCTATCAAATTTGTCTAAGGTGAAAAGAAAAACAAATCATTTTTCCTCTAAGAAATTATTGCAGGTGTGGGTTATGCCCGTTGGTAGTTGGTTAGGACAATGAGCGGCAAGCCTGTCTCCTTACACTCGTTTGAATCTCATTCCCCCGTAAATTAGATTCACTTAAACTATCGCTTGGATTCCAAAAAATAAAAACTATATATTATCTTTGCATATTAGCTGAAAATGTTCAAGAAGATGGAATCACAAGAAAAAGTTGGACTGGGTCGACCCATCAACAAACTGGGTAAAGAGTGCAAGGCGAAGCAAAAGTAAGGCCCAAGCTGTCTACCTCCTCCACTTTCTAGTTGGGCTGACCCATCTGATGGACCTGAGTTGGGTCCCGACCCACCAGATTGGGCAAATAGAATACCTTTCATTAACGTTAATTTCGCAACTATGGAAAGTTTGTAGGTAGATCTGTACTTGGATTCCTCTACCAACCATCCTATAAAAAAAAATAATAAAAAAAAACCACACACACACACAGACACAGAGATTCCCTTAACAAACATTGAGGTGGGGGGAGGGAGTTACAGGAAAATCAAAAGCAAAGGAAGACGCAGCTAGATCTGAGAAAGAAAGCAAAACCAGTTATATACAGCGGTAATTTTCATTTCAGTTTTCCTTTGAATTTTTTATCGTGTGTCCTTCTCCATTTTGATTCTCTTGTCCCCTTTCAAGTTTTCGTTTATGTATAATTTTGAGACTGCTTATGATGTTTTGCCCTCTGCTTGCTTCCCGAGAAAATGCAACGAATGAATATGATTTTATACTCTTAAGTGTGTCTTTCGTTGCATAACTTATGTGAACTTACTAAATTTTTGTTTAACAAGTTTTCGTTTGTTAAGTTGTTTTTATACACGTTTATTCATGTATGTATTATGTACGTCGACCTGCATTTACTTTGCACAAAATATGTTAAACATTTTTAGTTACTTGGTTCTCTCAATATCGTTTGTTCAAACAGTTGGGTTGTTGTCTTTCTGTTAATTGAACAGAAATGTTGAATGTAATGTCAATATTTTTTCAATTTCTTTAAGGGGTTGGAGCCTTTGTGATTGATATGAAGGATATTTCTTTATGATTATTATTTTTTATTTGCTGGACATAGGTTTTCATGGAAGGATTGGTGGGTGCTTCACGAGTCACCCCAGTTCGTACTCATTTGAGGCAAAAGCAACTTCCTTTTGTTCCTACGTCTTCACTGCAATTTACGAAAAGTTTTTATAGAAATAGAACTAGAGTTGGAATGAACAAACATCCCAAATCACCCAACCCAATTGCTGCTTCAATTCTACCATTAGAAGCCTCTGCATTGAGCCGCTTTGACAACACGCAACCATCCAAAGGTAATGCGATTGATTGAACCTGGGAACTTGTATTTGCGTCTTTGGTAAAATTGGTTTGAGGAAACTTTTGATTCATTGGAGCTGAAAACTTAGCTTTGCAACATAAATTTATAATTTGTGGTAGAAAGTGTGGCACTATTTGTTGCGTCACTGAAATTTTGTATGGAATTTATGTTCAAAGACTGGAGAGCAGTTGCCTTACCTAGGCATAAGAGTATGTGCTTATGGATTCAGCTTTGAAATTAAAAATAAAAAGCTCAATAAAGTATAGTTCGAGACTTTCAGAACCATATGACCTTGTGTGATGGTTGTTTATTTTAATGTATAGAGGTTCTTGATTTATGGAGAAATGCTGATGCGGTGTGCTTCGATGTGGATAGCACTGTTTGCCTGGATGAGGGCATTGATGAACTTGCAGAATATTGTGGAGCTGGAAAGGCTGTTGCAGAATGGACGGCTAGGTTAAATTTATTATTGGAATTGCTTTCATCTGTTTCGTACTTTGGAATTTTCAACTCTCACTGTAGTTTTCATCCTTGCCAGGGCAATGAGTGGTTCAGTACCTTTTGAGGAGGCTTTGGCTGCTAGACTATCTTTGTTCAATCCTTCCCTATCTCAAGTCCAAGATTTTCTCGAAGAGAGGCCCGCAAGGTAGGAGGGCTCCTTTAGATTATCTTGAGTGTATGCTGGCTTCCTTTTAATTATCTATGGTTCATGTTGCCTTCTTGTTTGCTTAATTTGGAGCTTGCCTTTGGTCGTGATAAAATCATTGTGTTTTTCTTATAGAATTTGAAGACACAAGTTGTGACTACTTAAGATGAAAATATTGCCATTATTAGCAAAAGATGTATACGAGACATTTACTTGACAGCATATAAAATAATGACTTCCCAATGGTTATTTATACTTACCTCAAGAAATATTGTTGAAAGGGTAGAAATGAAATGATTTAGGTCTGCTTATTATTTGCACTTCTGGCAATTTGATGACCAAAAATTTTCTGATCTGGTTGTGGTGTACAATTCTGTGTAGGCTTTCACCTGGCATAGATGAGTTAGTCAAGAAGCTGAAGGCTAATAACACTGATGTTTACCTGGTCTCTGGAGGCTTCCGTCAAATGATCAAAGTATGCTGCTGAATAATTCAACGAGTGCCTTTGTTCTATTGCTACTTTTTTTCTCTCTCACTTATCATTTGTCAGTTGAAGATGCAGAATACATTGAAAATTAATATCCTCCTTTTATATTGGAAATTGTTAACTGAGTAACTTTTTCTGAAGCCTGTGGCATCGATTCTTGGGATACCGCCTGAAAACGTGTTTGCAAATCAACTGCTATTTGGAACATCTGGAGAGTTTCTGGGTTTTGACAAAAATGAGCCCACTTCAAGGAGTGGTGGAAAAGCCACTGCAGTGCAACAAATAAGGAAGGTTGGTCTATGGCCGTTTGTTTAATGTTTTAGTTTCCAAGTATGTTGCTTGAAAAGCTGATCAAACTGGTTTTCCAGGCTCATAATTACAAGGAATTAATCATGATTGGGGATGGTGCGACTGATCTTGAGGTAATCAATCACTGAAACTTCCAAACTGCTATCCTGCAACTAGATTTGTTTGTGTTTTCTGTGTCTCACATACTCGCATATAGCCATGAATATAAAACTAAATGATAACCATGCTCGACAAGCCTTGAAACATTAAGACTTCTTTGTCAAGTGTCTCTGTCTCAGTGCGTTTCTCTCATATATAAGCATTATCAATGAAATAATATTTTGTTTAAGCTGACTCGTGAAATTCTCCATCCAATATCATTTGTCTCTATATCCAGGCACGCCAACCAGGAGGTGCTGACTTGTTCATTTGCTATGCTGGTGTTCAACTTCGAGAGGCTGTTGCGGCAAAGGCCAATTGGCTTGTTTTTAATTTCGAAGACTTGATAAGCTCCTTGGACTAATGGCCTGTACTCTTTTGTGCCCTGTTCATTCTTTATCGTGTACTATTTTTCCTCCATTGCGCTGCCTGCACTGCTTCATTAGTATAGTTATACCCTTCCGATTTGTACAAGATGACATTTTCCTGTGTATAAAAATCACAGGAAGATGAATAAGGAGTGTGCATTGGGTGTTTCATTGTAGGATGCTGTGTACTTGAATGGGTAAATATATTGTGTGGGATACTAGTTACAAAGTTTATATAATTGATTGGACCATTTACCCTGAATTCTTGTACAATAAATACATCTGTGATATCAGGGAGAAGAAAACTCAAGTATTACATTGATGGAAAGTGTTGAGGTTGAGGTTGACCCTTGTGTGCAAGCATGTCTAAACATCAACACTTTCCTTGCAAAGAAGATACAAGAGTTTCCTTTTACCTAATTTCTTATTCACTCATTCATTGGCATTGGGTTGTGCCTGTGGTAGTTAAAATGTCTATCAATCAAAAGAGCTGGTGGTTGGCCAACTCATTGAATTGGTGATCTAGTCCCCCACCTCATCCATTTAAGCACTAGAAACTTGCGAAAAAAGAAAAGCGACTGAACAGACAATTCCAATATCAGTAGCATCTTTGTTTTTTTTGGGTGAACAAAAGTTAAGGGGAAGAGGAGCCTATCCTATCTCAGGGTTAGAGTACACTGAGGCTTTTTTGAGGACATACACAGGAGGTCTTAGCCCCTTTTTGGGGTTTTACATATTACCCACCAAGGGAGATTATCGATTGTGAAACTTGAATCTAGGCCTAAATTGCAAAGAGAACGATTCTTCCCAACTCTACCAACCGTCGTTAGCGTATCATCTTAGATTTTGGTTTTGCCTAATATGTGCATTGCAAAGTATGAAATAAATGGGGCTTACAATTAAACAGGGGACATTGACAAATATCAATATAATAATTCAAAGTGCACTTTCTGGTTGCTCTGTGAAGCACTTGTAAGTGTGGTGTTAATGATGATAAGGGGTCCATCCATGTGGATTGCTTGGTCTGAATTTGAGTCTGAGGCCAAGCTAATCAAAGTTAGGAGCAAGCAAGTCCCCCTTTTGTGTCCTTTCCTTTCCTTTTCACATAATCTATTTCCATTTCCTCTTGTTTGGGCTACACTTTACATAACATTGTGACCCCTCCCCCCTACCCATTTATTTTCTTCAATTTATGCTTTAAAACAGTGATTGAGTTCAAAAGGTCCCTACAAAAGTGACAATCTTTTTCAACTGCCATATTAGCGTTAAAAAACTTTTCCAACTTTCATCTTGACTTAAGATGGATGAACAAGGTGGTTGGTATTTTATTTCATTTTCTTGTATACTTTTTCTTTCTTTTTCTTTTTTTTGTTGGGTTTTGTAAAGGGCGATTATATCTAAGACACATCATAGAAAAGCCGACCAAGTTCTTTCAAAGAATGCCTACTTTGAAAAGGATGTAAGAAATCCAAGAGCTTATGTATGAGAGAAGTGATTAGGATCTACCCAAATGTCCAACCGGGGAAAAAAAAAACTATTCAGAGCTTATAAAAAATTAATTTTCTTTTAAAATATAGAATTTAAATTAAAATGAAAATTTTGTTTTTTTTGGTCTTAATTTTTTTTTAATCAAGAAGACGATAGTAATATTTATCGGATAGAATTTTATTATTTTATGCGTCCTTAGAAAATAAAAAGAAAAAGACAAAAATGAATTAATTCTGTTTTAAAAAAGGAAAGGAAAAGACCTCGTTTATCAAATGTAAGAATTTGTGAGGTGTATCCCTCTGTAGATAACAGAGCAACGGGTGTTATTCCTCCGAGGAATCCAGTTCTTCAAGATTCACCAAAAATCGTCTTCGAAAGTTGGGTTTCTCTTAGATTTGCTTCCCAAACTCACAGGTTCTTTTAAATTAAGTTTTTTTTTTCTTGCTTCTCCATCGCCAAGAAGAGGAAGAGCTCTGAGCTATTTTCACCTTCTTGCCAATGCGGTAGTCATTCAAATGGGTTTTCTGAGCCAAGAGGCTGCTTTCAAAGTCGTAATAGCTTAGATTTTTGATATCCAGGCAGGCATCCCTGAGCTTTTGTTGCGGTTGTGGCTTCTTGGAGGAGTTTTCCGAGGAAATGGGGTTTGTTCTTTGATAGTGTATGTAGGTTGCTATCAATAAGTGGGTAGATTTTAGATTTTCGGCATTCCTTGGAAAATATGGTTCTTGTTTCTGATATGCTGTGGTTCTTGTAGCTCTTGGTTGATTATCTTTTGTGAGTTTGAGAAATTTGTCCCTGCAATTGTTTATTGCTGCACAAGTTGAGGCTTATTCAGTATTTTGGGCTTGCATATTGATGCCTATTAACTGTTTTGTTCTGCGCCAAAAGTAGTAATTTACTGTGGTCCAGATTTGGATTCTGAGAATTGATAGAGGAAATTCTGTCTTGTTGAGTTGGGCAGCTGTTTTACTTTCTACAAAGCTGGCTTTTAGTAATGTATTTTCATAATCAGTTGCGCCAAACTGTGAAGGTTTTTGATTCTTAGATTCAAACTTCTTTCCCCCTCACACTTGGCTTCATGGAATTTTTTGGTTGTGGGTTGTTGATATCGAGAACTGAAAGAAAGATAAAATTTTGCTTTGTGGAATCCGGTTAGTGTGTGTTTTTCAGTGGAAGGGACAGCAGATATGGACTTGTGGGTGGTTGCAGCAGCTGCAGGCGCTGGATATTTGACTAAGTATTGGCAGAATATTTCTAGGAATGGGGATAAGGATAGCGTGTTACACTTTTCTTCTGGGGATGCAAATCTTGACAAATCTGAGTCCCCAAGCCATCCCTTCCAGAGACTCGCACGGAGAAAGAAAGTGGGTGATGCTGTTTCTACAGATAGAAAAAAGGTTTCAGATAATAACCTGTTAGAAAGTGCTTGTGGGACAGAAGTGGCTTCTACTAGTGGGTATGATGGTGAAAAACTGGGAGGCTTTGTAAATTACAAGGACTGCAATGTACTTTCTCTATCAAATTTGTTACCAGTATACTCAGGAAATGACAATAAGGATGGGGATGGAACTTGGCTAAGTAATGATATTGATGACAGTACTAGTGTCATGTTGCCTAAATCTCCAAATGTAGAAAGGGGTTCTTCTCATGTTCCTCTGAGGAACAGAAGCTCTATTAGAGCTGAACATTCATACAGGCATATTGTTAAGCCAGTCAGTTCCTTAGAAAGTTGCCTTATGGCTCAATTATATAAAGAGCGTGCTGAAATGGAAGAGTATGCACTTACCCTTCCATCATCATCCACTCCAAGTATTAGGCCATTGTTTGTGACTGATGGAAGCCGAATAATCAGCAGAGGTAGTGGTGATCATTTCAGTGCTCATATTGGAATTGAGGAAAATAAGCTGCGTAAGGAAGCCTATTTAGAAACAAATGAAAATGTCTGCGGGTTTCCTCCACCACCGAAACTGGGTTATTTGGATCTCTCCAAGAAGACGAAAACTAAGACAGGAAAGGGACGGAATGGAAGATTGGGCAGTTCCAGTAAAATGGTCAATGGGAAACACTTCCATTCTGAAGGTGGTAGTCTTCTCATATTCTAGTGGTATCTTTATTTTTTGTTTAATTCTCAGTAATATTCAGATGGTTATAGACTAGAATTCCACTTCATAAGAGTAACCTATGTCTTTGTTTTAGAGGCTGTTCAAGTCTGTCTCTTTGCTTAAAAGTTTTTGTGTTCTATCCTTGTCATGGAATTTTCTTTCTGTTAGGAAACATATTAAATTTTCAAAGCAAGGGAAAATCAATTATGTCTACTGTTATACAGGAGAAAGGATATTATCCAGCGTTATTAGGTTGCTAAGCAAGGGAAAGTCATTTGTTTATATGATTATGCCCTATTAAGTCACTAAGTTCAAGAGACTAATAACAGATCCTAAGTGCATATACGACTAGAACCAATTGTGAAGCTACTATTTGTGTTGACCATCCAGTAATTAAATTGCTACTCGTGAGTGTATGGTATTTTTCTAATTTGTCACAGTTCATGTCCTAATACTTTTGCCTTCATCAGGTTCGCCAGAAGGACCAGTTCTACTGTGTCTTGGGATTTCTATTGGCATAATATCTTCTTTTATAACAAATAAACGAGAAGTTGACAAGTTGAAAGATCTATTGAAGCAGACTGAGAACTTGGTTCAGGATCTGGAGGAAGAACTTGAGATGAAAGATTCAGTAACAGTGAAGGAGCTAGCTAAGGAGAATTATGAATCACATGATACTTGTGACCATTCATTTTTTGACAGGGCACCAAATTCTTTTTCTCCTGAACAGAATATGGACAAATATGATGGTAGAGATTCATATGACCAGAAAGCAGAAGAGTTTTCAGAATCAATGAGTAAAATAGAGGCAGAGCTTGAAGCTGAACTTGAGAGGTTGGGGCTAAACGTGAATACTTGTATTACAGAGAGAAGATTGATTGATCTTGCCGAGGTCAGTGTATGCATAATTTGTATTCTTATGTTTAAGCAGCACATCTTTATATTTTTGTTTTACATTGAATCTATATATGTTCATTGGGTTCAAGTACCTCACTGTATTAAATATACATTTGGCCTTTTCCTATTACTCAAATGGTTTTCTGTGCTGAGCTTCATGGGTGGAATCATCCAAATAATTACTTCAAACCAAGTGAAAAAGAAAAAACAGCAATTTTATTAATTCTGCTTACAAGGCTTCAAACATATTCATTCTGTTTTACTTATGCTAGTATTTTAATACCATGGACCTTGCTAGTCTATAAAACTTACCAAATGCTAAGAATTGAGATATTTGATTGTAACGTTTGATTGTTGGGGTGTTTAGGTATTTATATTAAACATTAATAAGGCTCTCTTTCTTTTTCTTTGTCAGTTCTAGTATCATGTCTTTCTTTCTAGGAAATGAATTTTAATCTCATAGGGCCCGCCCATTACTTATTTTCTTTAATTCAAATGAACTTTTTTGGCTAATGTTGTGATCTCATCAAATTCTTGTTAAGTGCTAACAGAGATGAAAATTTGTGCAGCTTGATCCAGACTTAATGGCAGATTTTGCTCAAGGCGAGTTGAGAGCTGACATCGTTGGTGGTTTAGATGTTGCCCAACCCAAGTCAAATGAAGAGGCAAGCAGCGCCTCTACGGCTCATCACTGTGCAAACTATGCAGTTTCTCCTAGAGAGCTTAGCTTGCGTCTGCATGAAGTTATCCAATCAAGACTAGAAGAACGTGTCCAGGAGCTTGAGGCAGCTCTAGAGAACAGCCAAAGGAAGGTGAAAAACGTGGAATTGAAGGACGAGGATTGTGGAAGAGGTTTCTCAGAAAGTCGTATACATTCCACAATCCAAGAAAGTACAAATTCTGAAGAAAAATGCAAAACCGTGGCGGAGCCTCTGGTCATGAATTTATCAGGAGAAGCTTTAGATGCATACAATGAGGCTTATGAAGAGTTGATGAAGATCAGTGAGTCAGAAGAGGAGGATTCGCCTTGTCAAGTTTTTGAAACATTCAGGGCTCAGAGCCCCGGTCAAACTCAAAGTGATGAGGTAAGTGGTTCCATAGGACATTTTGCTTCCAGTAAAGAGGAAACCTTAGCCGAGGATATCTTTTCCTTCGAGAGCAAAGTAAGAATGTTGGATGAGGAGCACATTTCCAGGGTTCAAAGTTCAAATAACACATCTGTAACTGGGGAAGAGCATAGTGATTCTGATGCAGAGATGGAGAAACAATTGATAATGCAGATTGTGGAGAAGACCAAGAAAGGTTCTCCTGTAGTCCTGAATGCGCAAAGGTGGTTGTTCCAATCAATGGATGAGACTGAGAGTTAAAATGAAACAGAAATCAAATTTTGCACTGTATAGATCCATACAAAGTATAGAAGAGGTTAGGTATTCATTCTATAGCTAAGCTAATCTGTCATTCGTTCTAACGATGTTTACTGATTCTTTTTTCAAGGCTTTGTTTATCCAGTCATCAGAAACTTGCTCAAATATTTTCAATTTTATATGCTCTTCCATTTCTGTCTCACCTTCCTTGTTTCTCTTCTGTCCAAGGGATCATAAGATTTACAGCCCTGTGTTTGCAACTTTCAGTTCTAGAGGAAAACTTTTGTAGTATCCATTTTGATTTAATGAATGGACATGCACAATAGGGAAAATTGAAATAAATCAGAGATTCTGCCCCTTTATCGCTGTACAATTGATGACTTTGCTCTCTTTTGCTGAACATTGAACGCATTTTGCTTTTTTCTTCTACATTGAACAATTTCTTAATAGATTTGATAAGAGGAACTTTTGTTCATCATTCATTTCAAGAATCTGAATATGAAACCGATGCTTTCACGCTATTCATCATGCATTTCAACAATTTCCTCCTATTATTGCACTTCAATTTAAGTTTCTATTTCATTTTAAAAGAAAAATAAGGAAGACCATGAATCACAATTATTTCCACAATCCAGGTCCTTAGTTGACAAAGCACATTAAAGGGTGCAAGAAATTCACAGAAAAATCCGACAAACGAAATTAATAGTTCAGGAAGATGGGGCGGGGGGGCCATTCAGCTGTAACAAAAAGACAATCTACTAGTAGCTCTGCGGAGAAGCAAACTAAATTGCTCCTCTCATATCTAAATATTATCAAGCCCTCTTGAGAAAGTTGCCGGCGTCATCGTCATCCCTATCATTTCCTTCCAATGGATCATCCAAGCTGAAACCACCTTTGTTCTCTCCCAATTGAGCTCCACCACTGCCAAAGCTGTTGTCAGCACCGCCAACAAAGTCATCAGCACCACCAACACCGCCAGCAACACCGAATTTGCTGCTATTGCCAAAACCACCTCCAGTGCTAGCAGTTTCAAAAGTGTTTGCACTTGGATAATTACCACCACTGTTGTAGCCACCTCCACTTCCACCGTATCCTCCACCAGTGTTCCCACCACCATAACTACCTCCACCACCAGTGTTCCCACCACCAAAACTACCACCACCGCCGTAACCACCGCCGCCGCCACCATAACCACCACCGCCGTAACCTCCACCACCTCCGTAGCCGCCATCACCGAAGTTAGGGCGAGGCCTATCAGTAGCATAATTCACCCTTACTCGGCGGCCATGAAGCTCCTAGAGGATTTCCAGACAAATGTTTTAACATAAGACGAATGTTTTAAAAATTATAAAGGTATATGAGGAAACAACTAAAAACAGAAAGAAGAAAACAAATTCATAAAAATAACTACCTGCCCATCCAAGGCCTGGATGGCACTGGATGCCTCCTCGCTACTGGTGAAAGTGATGAACCCAAATCCTCTAGATCTACCAGTTTCACGGTCACTGATGATTCTTGCTACAAGAAGTCATTGAGCACCAAATTATTGCAGAAGTTCAAACTCCATTAAAACAAATAGCTACTGCAAAGTGTGTATAATTTTAAATGCATTATTTTCAACATTATGCATTTACAATACCAGGTACAGTCCCCGGAGTAATTTTGTCTAGAATTCACAAAACAAAACTATTAAGACAATGACATACCATCAATAACTTCACCATATTTTGCAAAAGCTTCCCTCAGACTCTGCTCATCTGTCTGGTACGAAATACCTGCATTACAAAAACTGAGACCATCTTAGCACAAATTCGCCACACAGAGGAGGGGGGAAATCATATTTGAGACTCTTGAGGAATTCTGACAGCAACAGCACCTCCAATAAAGAGTTTTGAACTCGCCATGCTTGACATGCATCTTACTGCTTGATGGATAGACAGTTTGAAAGGAGATAATTCAGATCTGATCTGCTTGTTTGCAGTCTGTCTGAGTATATTCCCAATTTTACTTAAGAAAGCCATTGCAATAACCTAAAACAAAGCACAAGCAAACAAGTTCAATGAACAGATATTTATCATAATAAGAGTGGATACAACAATCAATTCTCTTGGTTAAAGACTATACTCTACACATGTTATAGTCATGTCAACAGAAATGTCGAATTAAGTCTGTATAAGAACCCTTAATCTAAAATTGTGTTAAAAGTACACACAGGATGCTAATACTTTACTAATAAATAACAAGAGAGCCATTTCTAAAGCTACCCAAAACAATGATTATAAAAATAAATCATTCGCATACTACTGAAACAAAACAAACCAATAAGAATGTGACTCAGTCAATAAGTTAAACAATATTCATTTGATAAGCACATATTGCACTTCCTTGCTCCGAAAAGGTTCAAAACTCAGAAATCAAAACTTCATTCTTCACAGAACTCAGAAAGATGCAGGGAAAAAAACCATTTTGAAGAATTTCTACAAAACCAAACGGAAAATCTAAAATAAAAACTTCGTTTTTTTACCCCTTGTTCGACAAATCAAAAAAGAACGTTGCCGAAATATCCACCACAAAAGCCAGGAATCAAAATCTCATCTTTAACAGAGCCCTATAAATAATAATCACACGCACACATATATACATGTCTATATGGATCATAGACCAAATACCCACAATGTAAAATCACTTCAAAACAAAAAAAGAAAAATCCGCAGCGAATAGCAACAACAAATTAAACAAAGAATATAAAAGTATCGCAAGCATAATAATAACAATCATAAGCGATGAATGAGAAGCCTCGTCAAACCGTACCTTGTCCGCTTCTCTCTGTCACTCTGCGTTCAAGGATCGACTAAAACCCTAAGGTTTTGATTCGAATAGGGTTTATGTATCAGAAATGGGACTCGGGGTCTGTTATATGGAGGACTCTAGAAAATCTGATCCGTCAAATTAGGGGTCAAATTTACAGCCGTTGGATAAGAGCCGTGACGGTGAGGGTCGTATATGTTAGTTGCGCGGTACTGCGTGTACGTGGGACGTTAAGATTGGGTTGTTTTAGAGTTTTTATGACAGCCAGAGAATCCCCCTTTGAAGAACCTCAAAAATATCTGCCTGATCCTCATCCTATGCCTACGTAGAAATATTCATTTTGCATTTTCAATTCTAACCACCAATTAGCGGGCCGAAGCCCAAACTAACCAGAACTTACAAGAAATGTGATACAATCAAGCCCAAGGCAAATCTGATACAATCTAATTATTTAGGAAATTTCCAGTTACAATTATGATTTTCAAAATTGAGATTTTATTTGGATAATTAATCTACAGAAAACACTGACAAACTATTCCACATTTTGTAACTTTAGATAAGTAGCTTATAGAAAATTTATAAATAACAAATTCTATTAGTCATACTAAAAATCATTTTTACTCTTCTTATTTTAAGAAAGATAGTCAAGTCAGTCAAAAAGGTCTAGTCCAGTGAAAAATGACTTTAGTTTGTAAATCAGTGGTTTCAAATTCGAACTCTCATAACACCTTCATAGACTAGTAGTTCGTGTGTGAGAAACTCATAATTGTAATTAGATTGTCGCCTGTATTTAAAAATAAAAAAAATTAAAAGACGGTGTAGTCAAATTTAAAATGGCAGAATTCCTGCTCTCGTACGGAGTCATCACTTTGACTAACACTTTACCCCTTACGGGCCGAGCCGGTGTGAGTGGGGATTAGTCTGGGTTGTGGTTGATGCTTAAAGGTGCCACCCATAATTGGGGCCCATCCAGGATCACTTCATGGTTCAGACCAAAAAAAATAAAAAATTTAAGATGGCATGTAAACAGGCGAGATATTTAGTTCCTAGTTAAATAAGAAAAATACTATTTCCTATTATTTTAAAAATAAAAAGCAAAACACAAAGTCAGATAGATGAGCGGTTAAAATTCTCCCTCATCGCCATCGACTGGTCAAGCAGTCAAAGAACCAAAACCTGCGAAAAGTTTCTAAGCTGAACCCTCAAAGTGCCGGACAAATCTCAAAATACCCATCAATCGGAGCACCCCCAAGAACCGAAATTGATCCAATTTTCGAATACACAATGGCCCAAAACCCAAGACCCACAACCATTCTTGAATCTCTAGGCGAAGAACTTATCAGAATCATCACACCAGTATCAATCTGTATGTTGCTAGTGGTCATTTTGGTAACAATCTTAAACGCGGACTCATCTTCATCAGAAACAGTGACCTCCATAGCCACCATTGCTTACACTGAGGCCACCTCAGACTCTTCGTGGGACAAATTCGTAGGTGCCGTTTTGAACTCCCTTGTGTTTGTTGCTGTTGTCACTGTTGTCACGTTCGTTTTGGTCCTTCTTTTCTATCTCAGATGCACTGAGTTCTTGAAAATCTACATGGGTTTCTCTTCTTTTGTTGTGTTGGGGTTTATGGGCGGTGAAATTGCCTTGTTTCTGATTCAAGACTTCAATGTTCCCATTGATTCTATCACATTTCTTCTGGTTTTGTTCAATTTTACTGTTGTAGGTGTCTTGGCTGTGTTCATGTCAAAAATGGCAATTCTTGTCACACAAGCATATTTGGTTGTTATTGGAATGCTGGTTGCTTATTGGTTTACATTATTGCCTGAATGGACTACTTGGGTGCTATTGGTTGCCATGGCCTTGTATGATCTCGCTGCGGTTTTGTTGCCTGTTGGGCCATTAAGGCTCTTGGTAGAGCTTGCAATATCTAGGGATGAAGAGATTCCTGCTTTGGTTTATGAGGCTAGGCCAGTAACTTCTCATGATTCCAGTGGTGGTGTGCGTCAGAGGAGAGTTTGGAGAGATAGGAGAAATGAGGATTCGAATAATGGGCCTCATTCCAATGAGAATATCAATTCTGTTTTGGCGGAGAATGGAAATTCTGGGTCAAACTCTAATGTGAATGCCAATGACACTTCACATTCAAATTCAAATCCTGGTGAGTTTGGCAGTGGGCATAATGATTCGAGTTTGGTTAGAGCCGAAGAGGGGCGAATTCCGGATAGGGATCGAGAGCTTTCTGCGCCATTACTAGAACGGATAACAAATGTTGAGCAGCGTGGGCAGGAAGATGCTGTGGCAAGTGAAAGTGTGGTGCTGGAGGGTATTGGATTGGGGTCCTCTGGTTCAATCAAGCTGGGATTGGGAGACTTCATCTTCTACAGCGTTTTGGTTGGGAGGGCAGCAATGTATGATTTTATGACAGTGTATGCATGTTATCTTGCCATTATAGGTGGTCTGGGAATTACTTTGATGCTGCTGGCTTTGTATCAAAAAGCTTTGCCTGCTCTTCCTGTGTCAATACTGCTCGGCGTAGTGTTTTATATATTGACCCGGCTCTTGCTTGAAGTTTTTGTTGTACAATGTTCTTTGAACCTCATCATGTTCTAGACAGAAAAATTATGTTGTACAAGTTTGATGGGCAGCTACACAACACATGTAAAGCATCAGAGTATACTGTATGAAACTGATGATTGATTGCTGCAACTTGTATTTTTCTGTGAATTTGTTGCATATACAGAACCAGTAAGAGCTTTGCTATAACAGTTCAAATCAATAGCAAGATCTTTTCTTCTTTCTGTTCATAGTGAATCGACTTTTTTGTTTCCGCCAAGGGAAATTCACAAAAAGAAAAAAAAAACTTAATTAAGCAGCTAAGATTGAAGGTAAAGCACAGCAGTTGTAGTTTCAATGGTTTATTCTGTCAATATATGATTTATGGGGTAAGCAAGCATTATATGGCTACAATTCAATAACATGGGAAGGCATGTAAAGCCAATTGATATTACTACAGAAGGAGAAAAATGCTGCTGACAAACAACAATGTATTACAGCCTAATTTTGCTTTTGAAAATCTGACAGAAGGCATACAAACAATTACATTTACATCTACTAAAGTCCTGACAAAATAAAGGGAAAAACATTGGAAAGGGAGACTTGAAACACTACAACCTGAAACCTATAAAGTAAACTACCAAAGCTTCACCTTCTGCGTATAAACGCATGGTGCAACGATCTTGGTGACCCTTCAAAGAGATGGAAAATATATTTCTCCAGATCATCCACAGTGTACTTAATGTCTTTATCACTAATATTGCCAGAGATTCTCCCAACAAAAGTCCGATATGCTTGGATTACATTCTGTGCAGTTGAAATTTGTAGACCTTCCCGAAGCTCAAGATCTGGGATTGACCACCCTGTCTGGCTCTTGTACACCTCCTCAAATGCAATGCTGAAAGCCCTGCATCTTTCTCTAGAACTTGCCTTTGAGAAAGAATGTGACCGCTGATTATCATCTCTTAGCAGAGAAAGGACTGAACTCCAAGTAGCTCTCTCATAACTTGTTGCATGCTGCCGGACTTCAGCAATATGCTCTCTTATCCACTCATCTCCAAAGAAAAACATAAGCTTTGAGCTATTTACCTTTTGGACCATGTAGTGGATGTTGTTCATCAAGAAAACATGTTGTAAAGCGGCATCCTTGTATAGTTTGGATCTGCTATCAAGACTGGATTTTAGAGTAGATGTGATCGACAGAAGGTGGTGAGCTGTTGGATAAAAAGTGGAAGAGAATGAATCTTCTATGCCCTGCCTGTCTTCCAGCTCAAGGGCTGGATTTGAATCTTCTATGCATTGATCATTGACAAGAAAATTAAGTGTTCTGGCGTATTCAGTTAGGGTCTTGATGTAGTTCATGACATATCTGGTGAGAGGATGAATGCCACCTCCGGAGAATGGATTTGATGATGTGTTAGATGTTGCAATGGCATTCCCAAATTCCAAAAATGTTGTCTTTGCTAAATTGCCTAAGCTCTTCATAAGCTCGTGGAATTCGATCCTTATGATAGAACCAGTCTCTTCCATGAACAAAGCATCTATATCCAGGAGAAGATCGGCAAGAACCTCGTACATGTCAAGCAAGGAAAACAACTTCTCTGGCCGACGGGATCCCATGGCTATGGCTTCACCGAAATTCAAGAGGCATGCCATTGTGGCCTTTGAGATGTCAAGAAAGCAAAATGAACTGACAGATCCAAATTCCGTCAAGATCTGCTCAAAGAGCCGTTTCTCGCTAGCAAGATAGACCCGAATGATGATCTTCATATTCCAGCTCCATTTCTTGATCTCCAAGTTCAAGCTTGTCCACTCCATTTTCAGCACGTCTTCAATGCTGAATATCTGCACACCAAGAACAACCAAGTACTTGTCCAAGGCATATTTCCTTGTGTTGATAAAAGACTGGCAAAATTCATAGCCATAATTTGAAGCAAACATAGCTTTTGCAATGGACTTGAGATGGGGAATTGCCAAAGGCTGCACCAAATCTACAACATAATAGTCATCTGATTCATTGGTATACCTGTTTCTCTGGGATGCTTCCTCAATAGATTCTTCCTCAACTGAAACAAAGGACTCGTCATACACAATATCTGCTCCAGACAAACGAAAAGACATGTATTCAGGCTCAAGGTATTGCTCGTAACGAACAAGAATGTGGATGAGCTCTTCCTCTAGCCTTGACATTGCCAGCTGCAGAACACTATCCGCTCGGTAGAGAAGTTCCTTGTGCTTCCCATATTCATCCACTGACAAGCCTGTAAAGTTTTGTATCAGTGTTTGGATTTCATCAATGGATTTGAGATAATTGGAAGCTTCCACAGGGCCAGAGTCCCATATCATTATTTGATCATTTGACTCCCAACTGAAAACCTCTTCCTCGGCACTTTTGAGCCGCTTCTCAAACTCAGAAAACTCTTCTGTCTTGCTTTCAGTGATTGCAGCAATGGCAGACAAGTGAGATTCAAGGTCTGAGAGGGTTTTTCTCAAGTCATCAGTTTGGAAACTACTTGACCTAAGTGCCTGCATTATGTGCCGAGCTGCAGCAATAAGATGTTGTTCTCTTTCATGGGTTGGGGTGGAAGATGATTCGTAATCACCCATGCGGATGGAAAAGCCAAAGAACGAAGCAAGCAACCAACTAAACAGAAGCCTCAATGTATAAACTTAAAACTCCCCCAAAAATTTGTACTACAATTTAGAACAAAAACAAAAAATCTGTGAACTTACAGTAGAACTGATAAGGGACACGATATCTGCAAAAACTGTTCTTTCTCTTGAATCCTCAGTGAAAACAGGTGCATAAACCGAAATCCCAGATAGGTAATTTTCCAAAAACCACAAAGAGAACTAGAAAAAAAAACAAAAAAGCTCAAAAACTACGCGTTTTGTTTGATGAAAGAAATGGTCCAAGAATGGGAGAGACAGAGAATTAATTTTTGAAGGAAGAGTGGAAAGCTCCAGTGTGAAAATGATGGTGGACAAATCAAATTGTAGAACATTTGAGGGGAGATGAACATGAAACTTGGTGGGGTTGGCCAAGGCGTTCAAATTTTCATGGTAGCTTCCTTAATTAGCTTTCTTTACATGCAATCTCTTCCACTATATTATATTATTGGCATTGCAATGACCATTGACTTTTCTAGTATGACAATTGTTGGTTTACTTTGTACTTATGCGTGTGTGTATATATATATATATATATATGTGTGCGCAATTAAATCCTAATTATTAACATCCACATATTTATCAAATATTCAATTACTGGGAGCAAACATGAAAAAAAAAAAGAAAAAAAAAAGACTTGAATTACAAACAAGAGATCTCAAGTTCGAACCCTCAAGACATCTTAGTTGCGTGCGTGTGTGTGAGAAACCCACATTTTCTGTCGTTTCCTATCGTTTATACTCAAAAGAAAAAAAAAGGTAGAGCTAGAAACTTGGACCGTAGTCTTCTTTTATGAGTTGATGTATTCAAAGTCCAATGCCTGCTTGTCAACCGGGGTGTGTTAACAACCTCACTGTTAGTACATTGGCTAGCTGTTTTGTGTGCCTGATTAAGAAAAAGATCTCTTGTTAAGACTTACCAAGAAACTAAATAAAATTAATTAACTAGTAGTAGTAGGTTCAAAGTAGGGTGAGTTTAAGGGTTTGATTTCCATTCCACCTGTGGTCCACTTAGCAAATTTGAAAACCCTCTCAATCTCAAGAGTCAAAGCAACGTTCTTGGAATTTTGTTGAACAATAAACAGATTGACTCCTTTGGTAAGTTCGTGAAAATTTCATAAACATCTTGACCATAACTATTGTTTCCACTGTTCACACTGGAAACAATACAAGTAATGAAAACCAAACGGGGGTTAATTATTGGGTAGAATTATATCATGGATGTAAAACGACTTGGCCCATAATTCCCAACCAGACAAAGAAAATGTTTGAGTTGGGCCAACTTCGTTGGATTTTTTAATGATTTCGAATTGGGTCTAATATAATGATAAACACTCTTAATTTGATTTCAAAAAAATTATAATTCCGTATTTGAAGGTCATATTTTCCAGCTAAAAAACACTAAAATATGACGACTTTGGTAAATAAAATAAAACCACTGTTTTAATTGATAAAGTAAAGTTTATTATGTAATAAGAAAATATTATTGGGAATATTATTGGGGTAAATACCGAATAAATGACAAAAAAAGCAAAGACAGCCTTGGATTTTAGAAATTAGTTAAGATGAGGAGGCGCGATATGGCACGAGTTGGTTATTATATGGAAATAGAGAGAGAGAAAGAGAGAGAGAGAGAGAGAGAGAGAAAGGAAGCAACGCCTAAGTCTATGCAATGCCCTTTAATCCTCCCCTGGTTTCTCTCTCTCCTCACTGTCATTTTCATTTTCGTTTTTGCGCTTTTCATTTTGGGGTTTTCTTGGATTTTCAGTCTTACCCCCATTACTCCATAGGTTGACGTCAAATGCAAAACCGAGACTGCTGATTTTCAGGCCATCAAGGGACCATTGATTTTCAGGGCCGGGAGATTGGCAGTCTCTCTCTCCCTCTCTCTCTTCAGGGCTCACGTTAATTCATTGGCATTGGTTTTGCATGTAAGTTTTGTTTTCATACAAGTTTGTTTTTTTCTTTGGTTTAAATTTTCAATGGGGTTTTTGTTTTTAATCTCAATTTCTTGTTCTTGCAATGTATATATTCAATGTATATAACGTTTGAAATGGAATGTTTCTCCCTCTCTTTCCAATGTTTTCATAGATTATGTTTGAAATATCACGTTTTTGGATTAATTTTTTCTCCTTAATTTCAAGTGAGGATATAAGTTTAGCATGCAGTTTGAATATGAATGCATTCTGATTTGTGTTATCAATCAAATGAATTCATTTAAGTTTATAATTCTCAAGTTTACCTGTTAATCTGTCAAATTTCCTGTTTCCCACAATTTGTATGGCAAACATTATGAAGAAGCTCTCTCGGGATCCATAGTTCCATATAGAATTCAATCCTGCATATGTGCTTGGATTGGTGAGCTTATGATTGTTTTGTTATTTCATTTTACAGAAATCCCATGGTTTTGGACTGGTGGAGCCATAATTACAACAATTTTTAGTTATGGCATCTGCAGATGAGGGAAAAAGGTTAAGCCCCCCCTCCTGCTCCCCACTATCAACATCTTCAGACTTTGTCCATGCAGCAGCCACAGAATCCCCTGCTGAAAGCACAACCGGCCAGAGAAAACGGGACGAGGAGGACAATGCCATAGGAATTTTGGAGCCGGACGGAATAAGTAGCAACAATGTTATGAGGACAAGCCCTGCTACAACTCTTGGTGAAGTTGATCAGTTGAATGATTTGAGGACAGATTCTGCTACCACTCTAGGTGAAGCTAATGCTTTTAGCTCCAGAGGAGAAAATTTTAGTCACTCTCTATCTGATTGTTCTGAAACCACCGACTTTGGATTGGGCACAAATGCAACCAGTATGTCCCAAGAAGGTTCCACTGGCCATACAAAACTTGTGGACTCTCAGGTAGGTTCAGATTATGCTGATGAGGATTTTCTAGGCGCCTCAATGCTGAAGAACGAGCAACCTAGTGATGGATTAGAAGCACCACCTTCTCAGCCAGCGGTTGATGATTTAGCATCAGCAACAACACAATCTCCTCCTACGCAGGTGATGGAGCGACCCGGTGACCCTTCTTCATATAGGATCCCTGACTATGTGTTTGCTAGGAACAAATCCACAGCCCCATTGGAGTGGAGCACTGCATCCAATGAATCCTTGTTCAGCATTCATATGGGGAATATGAGTTTTACCAAAGACCAGTTTCCTTGGTTGGGCAAATCTGGTGAGCTGGGTTTGCCGGGTGAAGTGAGCATGCCTATGCCTAGTGGTAGCAACCTCGGTAATATTGATTTCTCAAGCAACCAGCCTCCATCTAAGCAGTCTGCTGCTGAGAATTCCCAGGAAAGTGGCAATTTGGAGGAGGAAGTTGAACCAAGCCCAAGAGTAACTGAAGCAAATTCTGCGGCAACCATGAGAGAGGTTATAAGGGAAAATGCAGAAAATCATGAGAAAGCAAATGACCCTGTGGCCGAGGGAAAGAATCATTCAGCTTGCCTCTCTCATGCTTCAGATGGAAGCACAAGATCTTTTGCATTTCCAATGTAAGTTGCTTAACAATAATCTACATCCTCAAAATACATAGAAGTATATTAATCATTTAAAGAACAAGAAAAAACAAGTGCAAGAAATACATATTTGTGCACATTGGCATGTTGAGCAAACAGCTGAATCTCTCTTTGTTGCATGAAGATTGGCAGGGGAGGGAGACGTAAGCTGTTCACTGAGGGGAGATGCAATGAAACAAAGGCAACATTCGCCGTCAAAGCCAAAGTCGAAACGAGAATCGCGGCCACAAACACCTAAAGAAAGTCCAAATGGATCATCACCTCAGACCCCAAAACCAACCCCAAATGGAGGAAAGTGCGGATGGGGGCTGTCCTGCTTCTCTTGTTGCCCATCATGCTGTTCTTGAGAGACGTTGTCCAGGGTAGTGGTACAGTTAAAACTTCAACCCACCAAAAAGTTCCGAACAATATTGCAACAAAAGGAAAAAAAAATATTGTAGTTTAGTGGTTTCTCTCTTCTTGTTGTACATTAATTACACATGGATATTCAGACATCCCTTGTTTTCTCATTGGAGTTGTACTTGTTGTATGTGAGGTTAAACACGTTTTTTTTAGCATTAATAGATAATTAAAGGAATCATTTAGGTATTTCCTATGTGTCTTAGGGCTTGTATGTGAGGTTAAACACGTTTTTTTTAGCATTAATAGATAATTAAAGGAATCATTTAGGTATTTCCTATGTGTCTTAGGGAATGTAAATATTTGATCCACGATAATGCAAAACTTCACTCCATGTCAGTGTTACCATGTTCCCCTTTTCATGTTTTTTTAATTTTATTTATGATTTTATGAAACATATATATTAGTGGCAAAAAAAAAAGGAAAATGCTAGATTTACCACATTTTATATCATGTCTCTAATAGAGGTGGGCTCATTGTATTGGTGGGCTCCACCTCTATTAGAAAGGTGATACGCAATGTGGTATAACCGTATAAGAATGTGATGAGCCTAGTATAACCCCAAAAAAAATTCCCCAAGAAAACTCTAACAATATTTTGGGTCCAGTTTTTATTTTTTTGTTGTTGGAAAGAACATGAAATTTTGGGTCCAATGTTAATGCCAACGTGGAGGGCCCATAATATTACAGCCCAACTACAAAGTACCAGCCTTTTTGATGGTATTTCAGAATTTCGTCAAAAAAAAAAAAAAGGTCAAAAAAAAATCGTGAATTTCAGAAACGGCAAAAGGAGAAAATGGTAAAACGCAGAAGGAATTCGCACAGGCGCTGGAGCGCGGCAGTCCACAAATACCAAAACACACGAAAGGTAAATTTGGCGCCAAAAAAGTAAAAAAAACGATTGTTTAGGAAGCCCTGCGGGAAATGATTTCAAAAAACAAAAAATCTCCCGCCGAAACCCACTTATACAAAACCCCAACTCCAACACAGAGACGCTCATATCATATCATCCCTCTATCTATCTCTATCACCCCCCAAATCGCCTCCAAAATTTCAGAGAGAGAAAGCAACAGAGTGAGAGAGAGAGGGCTGAGAATGGCGAAACTAGGACCAACCCCAGATGCGATTTCGACCATTTTGGCCTGTCCGGATCCGAGTGGGTCGGTTGAGCGGCCTGATATCGTGATCCAGGTCCTCGATCTCGGTCCCAGGGGCATTACTTACAAGTGAGCTTTATCTTCACCCATCAATCCAATATAAATTTGTCTCTGTTTGGGTTTTTTCCTTGAAATTATTAGAAGCTTTGTGTTTATTTGGTTTTCTTTTTCCTTTTCATTTCTTTGTGGGTTTTCAGAAACCCCTTTCTAGATCTAGATCTGGCTGCATTTCAGGCTTTGAGAATTGAAGTGTTTAAGTTTTATAGAATTGTTCATGATAAAGTTGTTTGAGTTTTGAATGAACTTGGGTATAGTCTGATTGGTTTTGCTTTGTAAGGAAAGAAAAAACAGATGCAATTTAGCTTATTGTAATTGTAATTTGGTTCTAGGTTTACTGCTAGTGATGGAAAGATGAAGCTGAAGGGGATGTTCTCCTCCCAGCTGGCTTCCCAGATTACCTCTGGGAACATTCAGAACCTGGGTCTCGTTCGCATTCTGGATTATGCTGTTAATGAGATTCCTGGCATGTCTGAAAAGTAAGCAATCAATTCTCTATATATCTCTCTCTTTCAAAATATCGGAATTTGAATGTTAAAGTTTGGTTCTGGTTCTGGTTTTGCTGTTTCAGCTATGTGCTTGTAAAACAATGCGAGGTGGTCTCACCTGCACTTGAGACGGAGATAAAAAATGAGGTCAAAAGTGAGGTCAAAAGTGGAGAAGTTGGCATTATTTTGAAACCCAAGCAAGAAATGCTTTCCAAATCAGCTTCTCAAATTGTGCATGAGCAGAATGGAAAGTAAGTGTTTTGTTTGTTGTCAATCAGTTGTAATTGTGTGTTAGAATTCATGGTTGTGTGTTTTGACAATTCCACTTTTTGTGTGGATTCATTTCAGTATGGCCCCGGCTGCGCGAATGGCCATGACCCGGAGGGTTCATCCGCTTGTTTCCTTGAATCCTTACCAAGGAAATTGGACCATAAAGGTTCGTGTTACAAACAAGGGTACTATGCGTACCTACAAGAATGCTAGAGGTGAAGGCTGTGTCTTCAATGTGGAGTTGACAGATGAAGAAGTAAGAAAAAGGCTCATTTGAGTTTTCTGACATTCTTATAATCCTTTCTTCCTTGCTAGATGTACATGACATAATGATTCGAACTTTTGTGTAAACTTTGTTTGCTTTGGTTTAGGGCACACAAATTCAAGCAACAATGTTTAATGAAGCTGCAAAGAAGTTCTTTGAGAAGTTTGAATTAGGGAAGGTTTATTACATTTCAAAGGGATCTCTAAGGGTTGCTAACAAGCAGTTTAAGACAGTGCAAAATGATTATGAAATGACTTTAAATGAGAATTCTGAGGTTGAAGAAGCTATCAATGAAGCAGCTTTTGTTCCTGAAACAAAATTCAATTTTGTTCCAGTTGATATGTTAGGTCCCCATGTTAATGGGAAGGAGCTTGTGGGTAAGCAGCCACTCTCAGGATCTGTTATATATGTGTGTTTCTATCTTCTTATTTACTCATTTTTGCCCTATATTTCAGATGTCATTGGAGTTGTTCAAAGTGTGTCTCCTACAATGAGCATCAGAAGGAAGAGCAACAATGAGAGTATTCCAAAGCGTGATATTACCATTGCTGATGAAACGTAAGCCTATAATACTCCTTGCTTACTACTACTTCAATATGTGAATGTTTTACATTGAAACAATTGGTATCTGAACTGCAGGAAAAAGACAGTTGTGGTTTCTCTGTGGGGTGAGCTTGCAACTAGTGTAGGCCAGGAACTGCTTGACATTGCCGATCAATCTCCCATAGTTGCTATCAAGTCCCTCAAAGTTGGAGACTTCCAAGGTAGCTAAATAAAGTTTACTCAGTGACAGTTCAAGCAATCATGCATACTTGATATTAAAAAAAAACATAAACAATCAAAGTTCCTATTTTTGATGCAGTCTTTAATGTATTGTTGCAGGTGTGTCATTGTCAACACTGAGCAGGAGCACAGTAGTAGTCAATCCTGAATTATCTGAAGCAAAGAGATTGAGGTCCTGGTAAGATATTCCTCAATAGGCTATTACCTTCTCTTTTCTTTATATCCATGTACAATCAATGATTAAATTGTCTTAATTGGCAGGTATGATTCTGAAGGTAAAGGGGCTTCATTGGCCTCTGTTGGCAATGGTATGAGCCCTTTAGCCAAGAGTGGAGCAAGGTCCATGTACTCTGACAGAGTCTCCTTGTCTCATATATCTGATGACCCATCCTTGGGTGAGGATAAGGTATTACTTCTATATCAATAGCTCCTAGTTACAAAAGAATCTTCAGTCAAATAAAATCCCCCTTCATGAAAATCTTGAAGTTTATGGTAGGGTTGAAAACTCATTTGTCATCGTACTGAATACTTTGTTTTGGTTTTGGGGCAGCCTGTGTTTTTCAGTGTTAAAGCGTTTATAAGTTCCATCAGGCCTGATCAGGCACTGTGGTACCGTGCTTGCAAAACTTGCAACAAGAAAGTAACTGAAGCTATTGGGTCTGGTTATTGGTGTGAAGGGTGCCAGAAAAATGATGAAGAATGCAGTTTAAGGTAAGATATATGTTCAGTATATTATGGTAAAGATGCTAATGGTATTTTATACAGATTCCCATTTTCTCATTTCTATTTTGTTCTCGCTTTCCAGGTATATATTAGTTGCAAGAGTCACTGACGCAAGTGGGGAAGCATATCTTTCTCTATTTAATGAAGAAGCAGAGAGGGTTATTGGGTGCTCTGCAGATGAGCTGGACAAATTGAAATCACAGGTATATTATAGTTATGATTTTGATTCACTGTGCCTATAAGTTATAACATGTCTTAAATTAACCACGAAAGATTAGCAGCTGGTTTCTAATTTTTGTAAGCTTTACGTTTTCAGGAGGGAGAGGAGAACCCATACCAACTGAAGCTGAAACAAGCTACTTGGGTTCCTCATCTTTTTAGGGTCAGTGTTTCTCAGAATGAGTACAATAACGAGAAGAGGAAAAGGATAACTGCCAGGGCAGTTGCTCCTGTTGATTTTGCTGCTGAATCAAAGCTTTTGCTAGAAGAGATATCAAAGATGAAAGCTTCCCAATAGAAGAATTGTCTAATGGAAAGTGTGTGCAGAAACCCATAGAGAACAAACGAAGATGAGGATGGTGTCTGCTTGGGCAGGCAATGTATTCTGTAGCTTTTTAATCTCTGCCTTTAAGATATTACTGGTTTAGTTTTTACATGTTGGGGAAAAGGGCAGTTGGGATTAATTGCAAATGTTGGTTATCTAGTTGTATAAATGGTGGGTTTTTTTGCATTCTAGAAAAGAAATGCTTGATATTTATCTAGTTGTATAAACGGAGTTCCTTTATAATCCTTTGTGCGATTGGCATTTACGTTCAATTTCATCTTTCTTCCCTGGGATTTTGGCATAAGAACTAAACAGAATGACTTTTGACGGCAGGGTTAAGCTTTTTGTTTTGTTTTGTTTTTTTGGTATTTTGTGAAAGCACCACCAACCGTTGCCACGGTCCATAAATTTAGCAATTCGGTGACGTTATGAAGCTACTTCTGTATAAAGTAAGCTATGTGTTTAAGTTTAGTCTCCTTGGAATGAAACTTCAGTATAGCTGTGCAGTTTTACTACTTATTCAAAAAATTATAATTTGGGCAAGTTATAATTGAAAAATTCGGCCACTATAATATTTTACAATACTTGTTTTAATATTTTAATAAATATTATATTTATTTAATAATATGTGAAAATTATGTGTATAACATGTGAATTTTTTGTGTATTATTGAAAATTTTGTAAAAACCATGTGTATTAAACATAAAAAATATGTACATATATGTATAGTATGTGTATTGTATGTTTGCTTTTTAAAAAAACTTGTATTTTACCGAGCCTTTAAGATGTGTATGAAAAATGGAAGTATTATTGAAAAATACATATGTATGTGTATAATATGAGTATTAAATGGGAAAAATACTAAATTCTTTATGTAGATAATAACTCTGGAAAAGTACAAAATTAAAATGAAGTATTATATGAGTATTATACGGAAAACAGAAGTATTATTAAAAAATATGTATATACGTGTATAATACTAGTATTAAATGGGAAAAATACTAAATTCTTTATACAAATAATAACTATGGAAAAGTTAAAAAGCCAAAAGGAGACAATAGAGACTCGGGTAATGGCCTAATAGTAATGGATAATGCGATAAACTACTCTTATCTATAAACGAAAATCTGGAAAAAAAATAATTTTTTTAAAAGAAAAAGGATCCCATTATGTATTTCAAGAGTATAGCCAAGAGTATAGCCGTGCGGCTATACCATTTATGAAAACAATTTAAAAATGACCCACGTATAGCCGAACAGCTATACTTTTTGAATATAATATAAATATAACGTATAGCCGGTCGGCTATACTATTTATTAAAAAAAATTAAAAAAGAAGGACGTATAGACTGCCGGCTATATTATTTATGAAAACAATTTTAAAAAAAACCCCAGTACAGCCGCGAGGCTACCCTTTTTGAATATAATATAAATATACATTATAGCCGGGCGGATATACTATTTATGAAAACAATTTTAAAAAAAGACCTCAGTATAACCGTGCGGCAACACGTTTCGAATATAATATAAATATAAAAAAATACGGCAATACTATTTATTAAACAAATAAAAAAAGACGGCTATACTATTTATGAAAACAATTTTAAAAACGGCTATATGTTTCAAATATAATATAAATATAGAGTATAGCCGCGTGGCGATACTATTTATTAAACAAATTTGAAAAAAATGGCAAGTATAGCAGCCCGGCTATACGGTTTAAATATAATATAAATATAAGTATAGCCGCGCGGCTGTACGATTTATTAAAAAAAAGGGTTATTCGCAGCAATGGTCCCTCAACTATACCCATAGTTACACTTTGGTCCACCAATTCGATTATTAGTTGCGGGGGTCACTCAACTCTGTGTTCCGTTGCACCAGTAGTCCTTCCGTCAATTCTCTCTAACGTGGCGTCAATTTGAAGGGTAAATTCGTCTTTTCAAGTCTCACCGGAGTATAGCTGTTGGGCTATACTATTTATTAAATAAAAAAATTTAAAAATTAATCCCAATAGGGATTTCTTTCAACTCGTTTGTTCTTTGCATATCGAAAATGTGGTGCACAAACCATTTTGAAATCAACATTATGAAATATGAAACAATTGCACTAAATTGCTTTAGCATGGCAAGATTTCTGAATTACGATAACAGGAGAAAAATTATACATATAATAATTTAACAATCTCATGCCCTTCCATAGGGAGAGACCATTGACGCTATTTTATGCAGTAAGTTTGATGCATTCTTGTCATCACTTTCCTTAAAGGAGCTCCACTCTTGATAATTATGCAGGCTGCCTGTAAAGTCTGTAAAAAGTCCATCAACACCTATCTCATTAATCCAATAATCGTACTCCGCATACGGATCTTGATGAAAGTTAAAGTGCAGGAACGAGTTCTCATTTCAGTATGTATATGGGTGCACCTGCATCGGAATTGAAGAAGACGAAACATAAGAACACGCACAATACTTTAACGGGATGTTATACTAACACCTGTCTTATAATGTGTTTTTGGCGCATTTTAACAAAGTCTCCCATGAAAGGAAAACATTCACATCCCACTTTAAAAAAAAGGTTGTTTTCTATACCAAAGGGAAAACTTCTATGCCAATGGGTCCAGTGGAAAAGGGTTTTCACTTGCAGATCGTTGTATCGCTTATTGTCCTTTAAGCAGTGTTATGGTAGCTTCATTTGCGGAGCAAATATTTTCATACTGTGGTAGAGGATAGATTGAGCTTTGGAAAGTAGATATAGGAGCTGTTGGTCATGGTAATAGAAGCTGGTATTTTTCCTGCCACTAATAATCTTAAATAGCAAGACCCCAAAGCTATATACATGAGAATTTTCAGAAAATATCCCGCCCCTCCAGAGATAGCCACACACTGCACAGGAAATTCATTATCCACTAACTTATTATTATTCCTGATATAACAGGCTAAAAAGCATATTACACAAGTTTAGTTGGGAAATAATAACAATTCTGATACTAGGAAAGAAATGATTCTTACAGAGTTCCCACAACCTTCTGACTCTGAGTGTTTGCTAGATTCTGTGTCCCTTGAAAGATACGTGCCAACCAACACCTTCAAACAGGAATCATGGTGGAGATAAACAAGTCCTCTAGCAACACCTTGAATAATATTGAAGCGTTTAACCCAGTCAAGCACTGGTCTTCCCATTGCCATTAGAAATGAAATCAATAGTTCCCCTGAGTTGGGCGTACTAGGATAGGAAGAGCTCAGACATTATCAAGGATATTGAAGAAAGATAGGTAACAATGAGAAATTGCAGCCAAACATAAAGGGCCAGTGAAACTAACCCAATAATATCATATCCAGGCTTTTGTTTCGCATCAACTTCTCATCATCTTTAATGCAGCAACCCATGAGCTTTACAAGATTCTTGTGTTGGACTTTGGAGATCAACAGAAACTCATTCTTCAACACTTCTATGCCTTGCCCTGACCTAATAGATAGTCTTTTTCGAAAAATCGGCCTAGGCGGTGGCTAGGCGGGCCCTATTTTTTTATATAGATTTTCTTTTCCTGACTTTAAAGAAAACCTACTGTCGTCTCCTTCTCTCTCTCTCAGAAACTCATTCTTCAACACTTCTATGCCTTGTCCTGACCTAATAGATAGTCTTTTTCGAAAAATCGGCCAAAAAAGAGACCCGCCTAGAACCTAGACAGCCCTTTTTTTAATTCTAAAAATAGTATAGCCGCTATTTATTAAAAACATTTTAAAAAGGACCCAAGTATAGCCGCCCGGCTGTACAATTTTTTTTAAAAAAAAAGGGACCCGCCTAGGCCCTAGGCACTAGGCGCCCGCCTAGAACCTAGACGGCCTTTTTTTTCTTCTAAAAATAGTATAGCCGCCCGGCTATACTATTAATTTCAAAAGGCTTTAAAAAACACCGGAGTATAGCTGTTGGGCTATACTATTTATTAAATAAAATTTTTTAAAAATTAAGCCCAATAGGGATTTCTTTCAACTCGTTTGTTCTTTGCATATCGAAAATGTTGTGCACAAACCATTTTGAAATCGACATTATGAAATATAAAGACGAAATATGAAACAATTGCACTAAATTGCTTTAGCATGGCAAGATTTCTGAATTACGATAACAGGAGAAAAATTATACATATAATAATTTAACAATCTCATGCCCTTCCATAGGGAGAGACCATTGACGCTATTTTATGCAGTAAGTTTGATGCATTCTTGTCATCACTTTCCTTAAAGGAGCTCCACTCTTGATAATTATGCAGGCTGCCTGTAAAGTCTGTAAAAAGTCCATCAACACCTATCTCATTAATCCAATAATCGTACTCCGCATACGGATCTTGATGAAAGTTAAAGTGCAGGAACGAGTTCTCATTTCAGTATGTATATGGGTGCACCTGCATCGGAATTGAAGAAGACGAAACATAAGAACACGCACAATACTTTAACGGGATGTTATACTAACACCTGTCTTATAATGTGTTTTTGGCGCATTTTAACAAAGTCTCCCATGAAAGGAAAACATTCACATCCCACTTTAAAAAAAAGGTTGTTTTCTATACCAAAGGGAAAACTTCTATGCCAATGGGTCCAGTGGAAAAGGGTTTTCACTTGCAGATCGTTGTATCGCTTATTGTCCTTTAAGCAGTGTTATGGTAGCTTCATTTGCGGAGCAAATATTTTCATACTGTGGTAGAGGATAGATTGAGCTTTGGAAAGTAGATATAGGAGCTGTTGGTCATGGTAATAGAAGCTGGTATTTTTCCTGCCACTAATAATCTTAAATAGCAAGACCCCAAAGCTATATACATGAGAATTTTCAGAAAATATCCCGCCCCTCCAGAGATAGCCACACACTGCACAGGAAATTCATTATCCACTAACTTATTATTATTCCTGATATAACAGGCTAAAAAGCATATTACACAAGTTTAGTTGGGAAATAATAACAATTCTGATACTAGGAAAGAAATGATTCTTACAGAGTTCCCACAACCTTCTGACTCTGAGTGTTTGCTAGATTGTGTGTCCCTTGAAAGATACGTGCCAACCAACACCTTCAAACAGGAATCATGGTGGAGATAAACAAGTCCTCTAGCAACACCTTGAATAATATTGAAGCGTTTAACCCAGTCAAGCACTGGTCTTCCCATTGCCATTAGAAATGAAATCAATAGTTCCCCTGAGTTGGGCGTACTAGGATAGGAAGAGCTCAGACATTATCAAGGATATTGAAGAAAGATAGGTAACAATGAGAAATTGCAGCCAAACATAAAGGGCCAGTGAAACTAACCCAATAATATCATATCCAGGCTTTTGTTTCGCATCAACTTCTCATCATCTTTAATGCAGCAACCCATGAGCTTTACAAGATTCTTGTGTTGGACTTTGGAGATCAACAGAAACTCATTCTTCAACACTTCTATGCCTTGTCCTGACCTAATAGATAGTCTTTTTTGAAAAATCGGCCTAGGTGGTGGCTACGCAGGCCCTATTTTTTTATATAGATTTTCTTTTCCTGACTTTAAAGAAAACCTACTATCGTCTCCTTCTCTCTCTCTCAGAAACTCATTCTTCAACACTTCTATGCCTTGTCCTGACCTAATAGATAGTCTTTTTTGAAAAATCGGCCTAGGTGGTGGCTAGGCGGGCCCTATTTTTTTATATAGATTTTCTTTTCCTGACTTTAAAGAAAACCTACTGTCGTCTCCTTCTCTCTCTCTAAGAAACTCATTCTTCAACACTTCTATGCCTTGTCCTGACCTAATAGATAGTCTTTTTTGAAAAATCGGCCTAGGTGGTGGCTACGCAGGCCCTATTTTTTTATATAGATTTTCTTTTCCTGACTTTAAAGAAAACCTACTGTCGTCTCCTTCTCTCTCTCTAAGAAACTCATTCTTCAACACTTCTATGCCTTGTCCTGACCTAATAGATAGTCTTTTTTGAAAAATCGGCCTAGGTGGTGGCTACGCAGGCCCTATTTTTTTATATAGATTTTCTTTTCCTGACTTTAAAGAAAACCTACTGTCGTCTCCTTCTCTCTCTCTAAGAAACTCATTCTTCAACACTTCTATGCCTTGTCCTGACCTAATAGATAGTCTTTTTTGAAAAATCGGCCTAGGTGGTGGCTACGCAGGCCCTATTTTTTTATATAGATTTTCTTTTCCTGACTTTAAAGAAAACCTACTGTCGTCTCCTTCTCTCTCTCTAAGAAACTCATTCTTCAACACTTCTATGCCTTGTCCTGACCTAATAGATAGTCTTTTTCGAAAAATCGGCGCTAGGCGGCGGCTAGGCGCTAGGCGGCCGCCTAGGCGGGCCCTATTTTTTTAATATAGATTTTCTTTCCTTGACTTTAAAGAAAACTACTGTCGTCTCCTTCTCTCTTTCTCTCTCTCTCTCACTCTCTCTCTCTCTCTCTTTCTCTCAAAAACCTCCTGCAATATCCTCTGTATCAAAAGAGCTTTTTTTTCTAATTAAGCTTGCCACTTAACTTGGGTAATGTTATTTTGCTTTGTTTTACATGGACTTAGATTTCAACCAAGACTCGGTGATGGCGGAGACCAAGGACGAGTATGAAAAATGCCATTCTGCCCATTCCATCTTCTTCTCCAACAATGGTGTAAGGGATGGGTTTTAAAGAGCATAGCCGAGGGATCAGTTTTAAGCGTATAGCCGCGCGGCTATACTATTAAAATTTTAAAAAGGACCCCAGTATAGCCGCCCGGCTGTACTATTTTTTCAAAAAAAAGGGACCCGCCTAGCGCCTAGAACCCAGACGGCCTTTTCTTTCTTCTAAAAATAGTATAGCCGCCCGGCTATACTATTAATTTCAAAAGGCTTTAAAAAAACACCGGAGTATAGCTGTTGGGCTATACTATTTATTAAATAAATTTTTTAAAAAATTTAGCCCAATAGGGATTTCTTTCAACTCGTTTGTTCTTTGCATATCGAAAATGTTGTGCACAAACCATTTTGAAATCGACATTATGAAATATAAAGAGGAAATATGAAACAATTGCACTAAATTGCTTTAGCAAGGCAAGATTTCTGAATTACGATAACAAGATAAAAATTATACATAAAATAATTTAACAATCTCATGCCCTTCCATAGGGAGAGACCATTGACGCTATTTTATGCAGTAAGTTTGATGCATTCTTGTCATCACTTTCCTTAAAGGAGCTCCACTCTTGATAATTATGCAGGCTGCCTGTAAAGTCTGTAAAGAGTCCATCAACACCTATCTCATTAATCCAATAATCGTACTCCGCATACGGATCTTGATGAAAGTTAAAGTGCAGGAACGAGTTCTCATTTCGGTATGTATATGGGTGCACCTGCATCGGAATTGAAGAAGACGAAACATAAGAACACGCGCAATACTTTATTATGTCCAATAATTACATCCATAGATCTGAAGCATTCATATTTCATATAATCTAAACAAGAATAAGTCTTTTCAGGGAAGAAATCTACCTGTAGGTCATGAGCATGGGCTCTGGAGACCAGATCAGTAGGTGTTTGCAAATAATTGTTTACTACAGGAACCACAGTATCCTTCCATGGTCCAATGCCCACCACATAATCTTTAATGAAGTCAAGGTAGGCATCGGATGTAATTTCCCAATAGGACTGCACATGATCAATTTGATGTCAGTTAGAGAGGAATATAAATACTGAAAGACTCAATGGATGAACTACATTGCAAAATTGGACTTAGATACAGTTTAAGCTGGGCCTTTAATCTCTATAAAGAAATTATGATCGGCAAACTGCTTAAGTTATAAAACTAGAAAGAACACAAACCTGATTAGTGTCTTGAGTTGGAATTGTGATATCGTCAATTAAGAAGATCTTAGGCAAGTCTGTCAGATTTGATACATATATAAGCGAAGTTGGAGCGAATGATTGGATAAATGCAGGTTGTTTTAACCAATCTTTTGACATGTATGAACCCTTGTATCCGTACTTCTTAAGTGTCTCCACAAACCTGTCCTCAAATCTCTTGCCATCTGCCCACTTCACCTGTCATCATATTAAACATTAGCCACACGTCGTGAAAAAATGAAAAAGATATCTATCAGATTCAGCATCGATGAAGCAAAATTTTAACCATGAAATGGCATTCCATGTTAAGAGAAAAAGGCATAATGCTAATCAGGTTATGTGCAACCATTCTTTGTGGAAGGTTTCAGGATACTCACATGCTGGTTGATCAATACCGGATTTTTAATCTCTGGATATATTCCAACAACCCTGGGTGCGTCCAATGCGATTGAAATGAACTCTTCAAAAGTAATAATAGTATATTTTCCTGAGGATACATCAGAAACGAATATACTTAACCATCCTTATATTTGCCCCTATAAAAGGACTAAAAAAGAAAACATACATGCTTTTCCATATGAAAAATAAGTGTAGCGTTCTATACGATGACCTAGGGAACTACCTAGAGTTGTCATTTCAACTGTAATTAGAACCATGAGTCAAGTGGTGATGTTACTCATAAAGCCCAAATCAAGGTACTACGTTCTAACAACAAGAACCAACCCACGGCCATCAATAAAAATGTAAACTTTAACCAACAATATAGTGCGTACATGAATTGCAGAAACAAGATAAAGCTAGTAATGGTTAGAAATCTGATATTGAAATTAGGTTTCTATCATCACAAAATCAGCCAAAAAGTAAACATAAATAAATAAATAAAAGTAGAAAACAATTTTTGAACAAGAGGAACTTTTTTTTTTAATAAAAAAAATGAATGCTCAAATTCAGAGTGATTTACCAGAAATAGGAACTAACCATTATATTGTTGATCCCGAAATGGATACCTCTGCTTCACTCGCAATGACTTCAGTTCTTCTAGTGTAAAATCAACTGCATATGGTTAAAATAAATTTTAATTTCCTCAGTTGATAACACCGAATGGCAATAAACTTACAGATTCTGAAAAAAGTAACAATATGATTTTGGGAACAGTGGTAAACTAACAAAACTTATCAGTTGGGTGCTCAACTATGGTCAGTCTTCAGTTAGAAGACGGAACGTACAAAAATAACCATCAACACAATGTGATCATATTCAGTAAAAAGTTGAAAGCTGAAGGGCTTTCCATACCAGTGAAAAAACCAGTAGTGTTGACCCCTTGAACCTCATAGGTCCTTTTACGATTTGAAAATTCCTTGTGTTCTGCAACATCAGTTGTATCATCAAGGGTCACATCATGAAAGCATATGAGAACACCATCTTTAGAAGATAGGATATCTGTTTCAATGAAGTCTGCACCCTCTTCAATAGCTCTCTGCAAGAATGAATCTTTTAGTACTCATTTACCTTTTCATCAAGTGGATGAATGAAGTTTATTGTAAGTATTTTTAGTACCATCAAATTGCAGCATCTAATCATTAACAGTCAGTGGTCTTCTAAAACTAAGAGAGCTGGGTTAATAAGCATATATATGCCCACATTACCATGTATGCAGCTGCAGTTTCTTCAGGAATCTCTCCGTTTGAACCTCGATGAGCAATGTTGTATGGTCGAGAAGTTTGCAGAGGCTGTCTATCGCCATCAGCTAATTTACTAGGAAGTGGATAAAATGGCCTCCCGGAACACCCAACAAGGAGCAGTAGGAACACAAAAGGAGCAAAACCTGTCAAATGCAAAAACATCAAAAGTGTTTATCAATTCTAGACCTAAGAATGCTGCTGGGTTACATAATTAAATACATTTTCGTGCCGTATGTAAATTTTTCATAATTTGGAGAATAAAGATAGTGTCTTGCTATCCTAAACAGTAAAAGGCACTTGCTAATTTAGAATGGCAACAAACTTATGAATCTTAAGACTATATCATACATATAAACTAAGATCAATATCAGCGCTATTTGCAATCCATATTTAGAAAACCAATTGTCTCATTCAATTGAAAGAACCTACTTATAAATAGTAGAACAAAGCACAACCTCACATTCACACCTTGGCTATCATTTTGCTAACTAAGAAAAACTGAAGGCATTTTCCAACTAAACGTCAATTTCCCTAAAATCAACCAATTAACTTGCGCCAGACCATATTTAGCAATCCAAAGAAAGTTCTCAAATGTCAGCTTCAAACAAATCAAACAAACCCAGATAAGCAATTGCCAAGGCCAAATCAGATATAAAGCCAATATTAGAAGTATATCAATTACCAAGAGAAAAAAATCAGGCCTTTTTCAAAACTGAAAAAAAAACCCAGTGATCATTCACATACAAACATTGAAAAACTTATGCCATCAACAAGAAAAGGTTAAGTTTGCAGCTTACAGTGTGAGGAAGCCATGGTGTTAGCCCCAGCTTCTCTCTGCAAAGCTTTCACTTTGAAGAATGAATATGTGGTGTTGTTTTGTATTCTAAGGAGGTAGAATCGTGCGTGGCCAGGAGTTTTATAATACGGAGGCTCGGAAAATTCGGTGTCATGGATCCATCCGTAAACCAAGAATATTCCTCGAATATATAGATAGGCTCTACGGGGAAAATAAAACTAAATTGGCAGTGACAGGTTAGATGCCATTGGAATGGAAGCGTGAAACTGCAACACTGGCCGTTGACGGTTGGCGTATGAGGGAGGTTGGACACGTGGCTGGTGATGATTGGGTTTGTTTTTCAATTGTGATGCTGATTTGTAAACTCAGCGACCAGTTGACGCGTTGACTGAATGGTGACTTCTCATTTGTCGCGTGATATATTATTTAGGTCTCTCTTAAAAAAAGACGTTTATTAGGTATCATTCAAAGATATCCTTATAAATATAGAAGCATCTGCTAAAATAATAATAATAATAATTAATATATATATCCTTATAAAATTTCACTTAAATAAATTATCATGAATTTTGAAAATTCATGAAAATATTATTCGTCTATTTATGTGGTCACAGTTTAATTATCTTTCAATTCTACGAAGTAAATAGTTCGATCATAAGATAAATTATGAAGTGAATAGAATTTCCAATACTAACTTTTGGAGTCTCATAACTGTGAGAGATCATTAAAAGAGGAAAATAAAAGTAGGAAGAAAAAAAAAAGAATTAACTTATTCTAATATAGAATAAAATTCAGAATAATACAAGGAAGCTGAAAAAGATAAAGTTTCCTACTTGTAAAATTGTGATAGTTTTAAAACTCTAGTGGAAAGCAAAAAAGAAAGGAAGAAGATCCAGAGCATTAAAAACTCAATCAGGAAATAGCAAACCATGAGATTTTGTTTATGAACGAGATCTGAATGAAAAAGGAGAGAGAAGAAATCCAACTATAAAAAGGAAAGTCCTTGTAGTTTCAACAGTAGAGTTAGAGTAGAACACTTATCCCTACCTACAGCCTAGCTCTCTCACCTTTCCTCCCTCTCCAAATAAAAAAAAACATAGAATAAAGAAGAAAAGGAGGAGAAGAATTGTGAGGAAAAACAAAATCCGTTATTTTGGGCATATCTTTAGATGGCTCAATAGAGGACGATGGAGCATTGAAGCTACGATGCTGCAACACAAATTGAAGTTTTTGGTAATGGTATCACTCTGATTTCATACCGATTCCTTACTTCCTCAATTCCTAAATTCTCCGATTCCTTACTTCCTTCTTAGTAAGTAAACGGCCCCTAATTCCATCATTTAACCTTTTTGAGACAACTTGGTTTACACAAAATATTGAGATTAGTCTAACTTGTTTAGTTGTTTTAATAGGATTTTTTCGATTTGATGCCAGTTGAACCCAAGACCTGCTAAACTTTGGATATAACACAGCGCTAACAAGTTACAAGGACACCGGAGGTCTGCTTGATGTCGATTGTTCTTATGCTTTGGGGTAACTAAAGCATCACCTGATGTTCCATATAATAATCAGAGTAAACTTTCACTATAAAAATATCAAGGTGTTCAATTATCAATTAAAATTACAATGGGGCGACAGAGCCACCACCGTTGACCTAATCATCAGATGGAGTTGAGCAGATAATGATGTGCCTCAGGGGGTTTGCCACTTCATTTCCACCAGCATGCTTGACAAATTCGGCTGGGGAGAGAAAACTGCCGTGGCAAGCACACAAAATGCCGACCTGGCCTTGTCCATACTTGTATAGAACCCCCTCGGTCTTCCTCCCATCTGCTCCGAAGGTTCTCACAGAAGGCATTTTGGATGTCAGCTCCTCCTTCTGCACAACAGCATTGGAAAATCTAGCCGCCTTTGAGGGATTTTCCATGGCATTTTGTGCAGGGTTGACATGTTCTAAAGTGGCCACTTTTGAAGAGGTGACCACCGGCTTGATGTCACTACCCGAAGGGAATGTCTCAAAACATCCTGCTCCTGTATGGAATTTACACAAGTTCAAATCTTTGAGGAAGAATGCACAATAGAGTAAAATTGAATGGAAGCAAATGTCACAGGTCAAAGAAAGTTATATACTATAGACTGAGTCTTAATCAGCAGGGGTTTCAATCTGAAACTAGCAAGTTGTCTCAAAATGTTATTGTTCTTGCTGCTATAATGCTATGACTTTACAGCAGTCGTTAATCACCTATTGTTGTAAATGAGACTTACTATCATACACAGATTTTGTTTAAGGAAATCTAACAGGCACGTTCCACAATTGGATAAACATTTATGAGACATAAATACTGCTTTTCTTAAGAGAAATGAAGTCCTTTACCTTTCACATTTCAACTTGGTGGAGGCTACACTTGTATATGCTGACATAAGTACACTCAAAAGAAGAAGAACCAAACTCCAGTATATAATCTTGGAGATGACATAAAGATAACATAGCTGAACAAGAAAGTGGATATAAAACCTATGTTTCAGTTGTCTCAGAACATCAAAATTGGTATCCTGAATTACATTAAAACCCTCCTCCTGACAGAAGGTTTACCAACAAGGACATGGTAAAGAACAATCCAGACAAACACTTAAACCTATGAAGACCAGGCAGCATGTTTTCTATGTTGGTCTGTAGACATTAGTTTCTGTCTCATTTCTAAAGCATAAATGTTTTTACTTCAATGCCACCACAGAAGAAGCTTAGAAAATGTTATTGGACTGGGATAATATGTAAAATCATTCTTGTGTTTTTTAATCTCTTGCCTTCTTTCCCTTACCAGTACATCTCACATACTGGTGTGTTTCCACACCAGAAACGGACATACTATGCCCCTGAACCGGCCAAGATCTGTATCTCAAACCCACCTCAACTGAAGGAAGGAAAACTTCTTTTTGTTTAATAATCTAAAAATATCATGAGCTTTGCCACTATGAAACTTTGAGATATCTAAGAAAAGACTGCTACAAACTAACATCCCAAAAAAGAAGCTTCTACCAAGCATGTTCACAAAAGTTGTATGCATAAGGGTGAAAGGAAGTAAAAAATACCAGGAAGCAGAGGGACAAAAGATTTTTAAAGTGTTAGATCTACCACTTTATGGTCAAGAAAACTAACTCCGTTCAGAACATGAACCATTTCATGTCGCTTATCAGTTCCATAGCAATAGAGTTTTTGAAGGTCACTTACACATTATATGTAATAATAAACGTTACACATAACCAGGCATTTCTATGTGAGAAAAACTTTTGAATTAAATGTCAGAATGGGACTATGAAGATGAAACTTTTGATTTTGTCCATACGCGGTCAGGTTCAAATTCTATATTAGGCTGATATGCACTGCTGTTTTTTTATTTTGTCGATACGTTGTTGGATATAGATTTTTTCTTAATATTTGTCGATATGCTAATGAATTCGTTTTTTTTTTCCATTGATACATTGTCAGACACAAGTTCTTTCCTAATTTTTGTCGACACGCGGATGTTTCCCGGATTACATGCTCAGGTTCACCAGTCATCACCATCTTTAACATTGTTGACGAAGCAAAAGGAACGGAGATCATCTTTCCACATGGACGCCGCAAATTCTCCTGTCTTGCTTTCCCACATGCTCTGCCATTTTGTTACCCTTTTCATGACCGAATCGAAAATACCAACTACCAAATCGTATCAATTACCCTAACCAAATTGCATGGAAAGCATTTCCCCTCCCATGCACGAACAATTCAAGACTTTCAATAGTGACCTTCCAAACACAATTGTGGTTTTTCTACTTACATTTTCTTACTAACTACACTATTCCTCTCTCTAATTAGCTGTCTATTTTAGCACACCCTGAATTCAACTATATATAAAACAAACCAGAAAAACATATTAAAAAAACAAACAAACAAAACAAACACACATGAGAATCATAGAAGAACAAAAGTTCCTATTTTTCATCCAAACATGTACTATCTTGCTCATGCAACAGAAACATCATGAGGCAAAATTCATACGCGATCTAACAGAATACATAACCAAAATAAAGGAAATTGCAATCTTAAGTACTACAAGAGCAACTAAACATAAGTATAAGATCAAACAATCACAATTTATGTCAAGCAAAATATAAAAAGGGTAAACAAAGAAAAAACAGAAACAAAAATACATATGCAAATAATTAACTTCATATGTGGATGTGGTTTACCGTTTGGAGCATCAGACACAGTGATATATCCCTCTGCTTTGAGTTCGAACTTAAAAACGGTGCTGAAGGGCCTGGTGGCGTTGGCTTCAGGCGGCTGCGATGCCTGTGCTGCCGGAGGGCTAGTCTTCTCTAGCAAAGAAGCAGCTAATTCTTCTTTCCTCAGCTTCTGTGCCAACCTCTTCTTTCTCTCCATTCTTCTTAACGCCAGTATGTCCTTGTGCCTAATCATCCGCTGCCCTGTCCTTTCCGGAACAGAGCTAGACCTTGGCAGCTCTACTGAAAGAAGAGGAGCAGCCACCCTTTCCTCCTCCGGCGTCGTTTTGGGTTTTAAGAATCCAGCCATCGTTGAAGACCGAGCCAGAGGGTTCTCGTTGGGATTTTCAGTGTAGATTTCTCCAAGAGAGAGCCCCAGGTTGAGTTCTGGGTTCACAGAATCGGCGTTGTTGTTTTGCATGGCGTTGTTGTTGGGTTGGGAAACCCGGTCTTTGTTTGCCTCAGCCATTGCAGACAGAAAAGTGAGCAACTTGGTCTCAAAACGCTTCCTTCAAGACTCTTCTGTTGCAAGAAAATTATAAGTTAGGCACAAAAACATGGAGAGCAAATTATAAACTAAGAAAGAACTACCATGAAAATTAAAACCCAGATAAGTTCTTTAACCCAATTGAAAATTGCAGCAAAAACAATGAAGATGATAGAGTGAGAAAGAGAGAGAAATTAAGCGAACCCAGATAGGCTTACAGGGTTTTTTTGACAGACACGACCGATCACCGACCACTCTGCAATGCAAATACAGAACTGCAACTGATCAGAGCAGAGGGAGGGGGGTTTATATTGGAAATGGATCGAGAAAAGGGACAAAATTTGTTCTTTGTAGGTGTTGCCGCAGGTGACAATGGCATTGTAGCTGGCATTTCTCAAAACCCACGTGGTTATCAGAGGAGGCAGAAAGAGAGAGCGTAGAGTGTGAGAAGGAGAGTGGCTCACATTTTGTACGGTTACTCGTTTTAGATCTTTCTCACTGTTTTGCAAGTTGCAGCTCAATGACTCTTAACCACTACCACCACTTGTAACTCAGCTTAGCTGTATGTATCTGTGTGCACCTCTTTCCCTTCTTCTGGATTGTGTTTGTAAATTGTGAGCAAAATTGATGGCAAATCTTCAAAAGGTAGAAAAAGAAAAAAGGAGTTGAAGATAAAGAACTGTTATAGCAGTGTCTTTCTGGGTTCGTGAAGTCGGGGATTTGGAGTGAGAGGAGTGGAAGGATTTAAAAGTGAGTGTGGTGATAGTGTTTTTTGCCTTCAAAAGCCATGTGTCGAAGTGGAAGGAAACAAAATTGGAATTTGACACTATGCGCGGTGGTCCGGCCAAAATCAGGGGTCTCAACGGTCAGTCTGAAGAACTCTGTTTTGTATGTGCTAGCAGCAAACCCCACTTGTAATTTCACATTTTTTAAAGTGAATTGTTCACCCTCTTTTGCACCCTTTTAAGGGAATTCAGTTTAACTTTTGCAAATCAATTTAATCTTACAAGTTTAATGATATTTCTATATTTTAAAACCACATCTTGTATTTGTCAATTCATTTTTTTAAATTCTTGTTTATAGAGATTAAAAAAAAATTACAAAGTAATTGTTTAAATTATTTTACATTAGTCTAACTTTCAGAGAAACCTATTCGAATTTGGAGATAGAAAGACAGACACATTACCCTGGTAAACTAACCTAACTCACGTATGCTATTTATAGAGAATCTCTATTCAACATTGACTCTCGTTGTTTTTCTGAAAAAATAAGAATTTGTTCACATATGTTTTACAAAAGCATCCCTCACCATGATTCGTCGAAAATCGCCGTATAATTTTTGAGAGCAAAAACCCGCGGCGAGGAATTGAGAAAAATTGGGGGCGTCAAGCTCTCAATCAGATCCAACGTGACAAGTGTGGGCCATGCGCAAGATGAGGTGGGATTAACTTTTGTCCACAAGGAAAGCCCAGTTGACCAGTTGTAAGGCCACGTGTCGGATCTCCCGTACGGATGATGTGATCCCCTGTGCTTTGCTGTCAGATTGCATGCAAGGAGGGCCGGGAGCAAGGGACCAACTGCTGCCAAGTGTTTATTTTAACTTACCATCACTTTATCCATTGGCTCAATTGGAGCCATAATTTTCATAGACTAGAGCCCATCTTGGCTTAAGGTGCTCCCGCCGCCCTTGTACATATCTCTCCCGATCGAATGGTCGAGTGGACTTCTGGCTCTAGGGAAGAGTTTTGGATCGTTAGATGTGGAAAGGGCAAAAAAGGGTTGAACTAAAAAAAACAGAAACACAGATTATAGACAAACAAACCAGACTGAAAACTTACAGGATGTTGCAAAATTGAGCTATTAATTTAAGAGGGTATATTAAATGTGAAAACTCAATACTACCCTTAATGTTCTTCGTAATATCGTAGGGTGAAATTTTTTGAAGAAATGAAGCAATGGGCTTTGATTGAAATAGAAAACAAGGAGAGGCCTAATGTACAACATGGAGAATGTTTTCTTTTGGGTTTTTTGAATGAGTTCCACTGGCCCAAACAAAGTCCAAATAAAAATGAACATATCCGGCTATTGATCGTTTGGTTAGTTCATACGTCACTTGTTAAAGAAGGGGAACATTTTCCATGGGTCCAATATTTTTATAAAAAAAATGGCATTGCCTTTTGGCTGACATATGAGTTCTTTACTCTCCTTAAAAGAGAAAAACTTAGTTACAACGGGGATAGTACTCTATTATCCCGTATGACATAGTGTTATTGACCAGTGATAACAAAATAGTGCTATCTCCGTTTCATGAAAGTCTTTCTCCTCTTTAAGGCAAACACCATTTATCATGATTCACATAATGAATTTTTTGAAAATTAAGAAAAACAAAAACAAGGAGAAAGAAAATGGATATGAACGAAAATGTATGATGAGAATGAAGAACATAAGGTTGGCCGGAAGTGGTTTGAGTACCATAGCTAGCAAAAGTTGATGTATTTGAAGATGTCAAATACAATTTGGGGATTGTCTACAAGGAACAAAATGATCAATTGGTTGCATGGAAAATCAAATGAATAAGCTATTCATAAAAACCATTCAGTATATGAAAGTGATGTAATTTCATTCATGTCCTAAACTCTCCAAGAGAGCATGCTCATATGCTGGGAAACTCATTTTAAGTTACTAACATCACCACAACTAAAGTAAACAGGAAAACCTGTAATTTAACAAAATGCCAAATAAATCCGCATAAGCAACAAAGGAACCATACAGAACTTGCTAATTAGGACGTCCTAACACATAAGAAAAGCTCATATGGCCATCAGATCACCGTAACTCCGCATTAGAAGAATTGATCCTGCAAACAGACCAGCAGCACGCAGCAATTTCTGCAAGAGAAAAATACACTTTTAATTCCTTTATCTCCATTGTAATCTCAACAAAAAGATGGATTTATGCTTGACATATAGCATCTGGCATCCATGCAAAACAAATCAAACTCAAGAGTTCTGAAAGAATACAAGAAACGTTCACTACAGTATAACAAGGGCAAAAGAACCCCTGTTTATTAAGCATCACTATCTGAAAAGATCCCGGACAAGAAGAAAAAAACTGAAAAGATCAAAATATTTAAGGCACCTTTGCAAATCACACTCATCGATATCGGACACTTTCTATAGACTAGAGTCTAGAGCAGAAGCACAAGTCTTGCAAGGGAAAACTTATGTGTCTTCGGTTTACAATTTTTTATGGAAACCAAGATCTAATGATAAAGAGACGAGCATCGCCTAAAAGCACATCTATTGTTATAACTTATAAGCACAATAGTAATCACAAAAAATTGCGATTGGGAAACTTGCAACATCTGTAATGTTAATAACTGAGATACCATAATCCAAATTCCACATCTTAGACAAATAAAAAATCAAGGTTTGGCTAACACTTGTTGATCTCAAATACCTAAGAAAACACTTATATGAACTACGAGTAACACTTGTCCTTGCAAAACTAAACTTCTTTTAACTTTCCCGATTTTAAGAGGGTATATGAAATGCGAAAACTCAATACTACCCTTAATGTTCTTCGTAATATCGTAGGGTGAAATTTTTTGAAGAAATGAAGCAATGGGCTTTGATTGAAATAGAAAACAAGGAGAGGCCTAATGTACAACATAGAGAATGTTTTCTTTTGGGTTTTTTGAATGAGTTCCACTGGCCCAAACAAAGCCCAAATAAAAAAGAACATATCCGGCTATTGATCTTTTGGTTAGTTCATACGTCACTTGTTAAAGAAGGGGAACATTTTCCAGGGGTCCAATATTTTTATAAAAAAATGGCATTGCCTTTTGGCTGACATATGAGTTCTTTACTCTCCTTAAAAAGAAAAACTTAGTTACAACATGGATAGCACTCTATTATCCCGTATGACATAGTGTTATTGACCAGTGATAACAAAATAGTGCTATCTCCGTTTCATGAAAGTCTTTCTCCTCTTTAAGGCAAACACCATTTATCATGATTCACATAATGAATTTTTTGAAAATTAAGAAAAACAAAAACAAGGAGAAAGAAAATGGATATGAACGAAAATGTATGATGAGAATGAAGAACATAAGGTTGGCCGGAAGTGGTTTGAGTACCATAGCTAGCAAAAGTTGATGTATTTGAAGATGTCAAATACAATTTGGGGATTGTCTACAAGGAATAAAATGATCAATTGGTTGCATGGAAAATCAAATGAATAAGCTATTCATAAAAACCATTCAGTATATGAAAGTGATGTAATTTCATTCATGTCCTAAACTCTCCAAGAGAGCATGCTCATATGCTTGGAAACTCATTTTAAGTTACTAACATCACCACAACTAAAGTAAACAGGAAAACCTGTAATTTAACAAAATGCCAAATAAATCCGCATAAGCAACAAAGGAACCATACAGAACTTGCTAATTAGGACGTCCTAACACATAAGAAAAGCTCATATGGCCATCAGATCACCGTAACTCCGCATTAGAAGAATTGATCCTGCAAACAGACCAGCAGCACGCAGCAATTTCTGCAAGAGAAAAATACACTTTTAATTCCTTTATCTCCATTGTAATCTCAACAAAAAGATGGATTTATGCGTGACATATAGCATCTGGCATCCATGCAAAACAAATCAAACTCAAGAGTTCTGAAAGAATACAAGAAACGTTCACTACAGTATAACAAGGGCAAAAGAACCCCTGTTTATTAAGCATCACTATCTGAAAAGATCCCGGACAAGAAGAAAAAAACTGAAAAGATCAAAATATTTAAGGCACCTTTGCAAATCACACTCATCGATATCGGACACTTTCTATAGACTAGAGTCTAGAGCAGAAGCACAAGTCTTGCAAGGGAAAACTTATGTGTCTTCGGTTTACAATTTTTTATGGAAACCAAGATCTAATGATAAAGAGACGAGCATCGCCTAAAAGCACATCTATTGTTATAACTTATAAGCACAATAGTAATCACAAAAAATTGCGATTGGGAAACTTGCAACATCTGTAATGTTAATAACTGAGATACCATAATCCAAATTCCACATCTTAGACAAATAAAAAATCAAGGTTTGGCTAACACTTGTTGATCTCAAATACCTAAGAAAACACTTATATGAACTACGAGTAACACTTGTCCTTGCAAAACTAAACTTCTTTTAACTTTCCCGATGCTAATCTCAAATCAAGAGGCACAGAACAGACACCCCCTACGATCTCCATGAATCGCAAGTCCTGGGAAAATTATATATTCTAATCCAAATAACATAAACTTTTCCCACATCCTATGGCCTAAACATGAGGAAATTATACATACATGCAATTGAAATCACGCCTAAATCAAAATCAATAAATTCTAATCACAAGTCTTAAGCTTCCAACAAAATCGAAAACGGCGAGAGAGTGTTTGAGAGAGAGTACCATGTTAAGGGCCCACTTTTCCTCGTCATGATACTGGGACTGCAAGAAGTATTTCGCCTTGTCCAGTGAGATCGGGAAGTCCGCCATTGATGTGTTGAGAAGGAGAGGGAGAGAGAGAATTTGTGCTTTAGGGTTTAAGTTTGGGGTTTTGAGATTTGGAGGTGTTTGATGAGAAAAAGACCAACTGCGAGTCTGCGACCGCGCGGCACCCACTTAAAAGGAGGTTAAGTAACGAAATTACTACAATGACCTTACTCATTAAAAGTCCCTTTATATGGAGGAGAAACAGTTTGATCCATCCGCCGGTCCACGTGGCGACACGTTTACACTCGAACCTCATCTTCCTGTCCACTAATTTATTTTGAGCCAAACCGGCCTTCATCAAGGGTTCAAGCACTACAGCGAAAGCCATCACAAACATAAAGAGAGAAACGCAGAGAGAGAGAGAAAGAGAGAGA